TTGCAAAGCAATAAATATATAGGTAGGCTTATACCTGGATTAAGTACATGTCTTGTCTACTGTAATAGGTAGATGGAGGTGATACTGCCAGAAATAGATGTGTGCGATCAATAAACAAACCACAAGATTGAACTGCCGTGTCCAATGATTTTTGTATTGCCTTTTTTTATTGCCTTACTAGAAAACTCTGTTGGGTATATGATGGAGTTTACTAGAACTTTACAGCTTGTTGTCTGCCTTCTTATACAAACTTCATCACATCGAGACGCTGTCAACCTTATCCTCCGTTGAAGACGCCACAAAGTACAGTCCTGTGATTTGGTACCTTGTTCGATCTGCAAATTCTCATCGTCACTTTTTTTAAGTTTCCCTAAAAATTTTCGCTTAGCAACCTCCAAATCAATGTAGTTAATGTCAGGTTTTTGACTGAATTCTCCATAAAACTATTCATTTTCTTTGGAATTGCTATCCGAATTGTTAGTTATTTTTATATCAGCTTTTTTGGTCTGAGTTTCTTTTCAAGATTCTTGCGTTTGAGTCTTTGTACCATCTTAGTGATAAGCGAGGTTGGACTAAGCTTAGCACGCAAATGTATTTGGACCACATAGACAGGCCGCTCGGTATTGTGGCTCACTACAGCTGCAGCACATTTTCCATGGTATGACCTCTTCTTGCAATAATGTATTTTGTGATTATAGACTTGAACTGCTCCACATTATTGTTGTTGACCTTTTATTGTCCATTATCAACCATGATAAAAAAAGGCACTCAAGAACAATCACACCAACAAGAGTGCAGCACAACAATTCAACAACACAATATCGACGAACAGTAACCAGGGTAGAACAATACTAAATGATCACTTGAGTACCAAATTAGGAAACGATTAACAGGCTAGATCGCTAATCGAAATCCGACTCTGTTATTATAAAAATTTACCTCGGTACGCACCCGCAGTCATCCTTTCCTCTTTTAAAGTAGCGCCGACAACCATCTAAGACCTGCCCACCCTCGTTTCCTTTTTACCCCCCCGTTACCTCAGCAGATGGTACTCGAGATTGTAGGAGCCTCGTTAATCTTAGAGATCTGATGATTTGCACCTTTTTGTAAACCGACAGAGTGTGGATTTGCCAAATAAATGTTTTCTTTTTTCTCTTTTTCATTAGTTCACTCAGTTGAATATCAAATCGGTTTATTTATTTTAGGTTTGTATGTATCTTATTTTTTATTGTATGTATGTACATATTCCCTTGCGCAATAGCCTAGGGTGTAACAGTAGCAAACTGGCCAAAATTCGTCTTATTGTTGTGATTCTAATATTGATATTTTATTATTATTACATACCCACGCGCGAAAAACATTCTGACACAGGTAATAAAAATAGTATCTATCATTTGATTAATAAAACCCGTTGCATCCCATTACCATCTTAATATGCGCCACACTTAATCCTTGATTCTTGATGACATATAAAATAAAGGAATCAACATAGCAAATGTTTAAAAAAACTTGTCAACATCTTGGATTTCGGTATCATCAATGTCTGCCAAAATAGGCAGGTGAAATTTAGTATGAACACCACTGGTGGAAATTAAAAAAGGTAGTACATTAAAAAATGCCTCTTGATACATAGTATAGGTATGCACAATTTCATTAATATATTTTTAAAGTAGTATTTACAGATATTAATGATTTATTTTTGATCACCATGTATCTCAAAAGTTAAGACGTTTAGGACATACGTTCATATAAAGTTTTCTTCTTAAAATGGATTCAAAAATCGACCCCTCACAAATCGACATTCAATTAGGAAACAACCTGTATAGTCTTAATATTTGAAGTTCAAGAATGCAATACCCAAGGCCATCTGCACTTTTATAAATGTAAATGTAATTTTATGTTTAATTAATCATATGTATCGTTTAAACATCGGTATTTAATTTTTATTAGTAACTAATAAAAGCACATTTGAATATTTGCCGATGATATACGGATGGTCTTACAGGAGATGTACTGGCATGGCAAACTACTTCATTTTGCTTCCCACGCCGACTGGCAAGAAATTATTGTAATTGCGAAAAAAAAATCGAAAATGAGATATTATGTTTTTTGAATGTTATATGGCATTTACATCACGAAAAAAACATGTAATATCCGTTAGTAGGTCTATCTGTCTGTCCAAATCCAAATTACTTCATTAGGTCCGAACACTATACATAAGGATAGAGAAGGAACATGTCATATGTATAACATACAATATTTTTAAAAATAAAAAGTGAAATAAAAGACAAACTAAAAGAACAAACTGTATACGGAAAAATTAACACGTGCATGTGGATGCCAAGTTAATGATTAGGTCCTTCATCAGGTGCTTTTTAAAGAGCATAACGCTATCTACGACTATTTGTTTGACGGATTCTGGTAAATAATTGTATATTCGTTTCCTGGCCATCTTGTATAGTTATATTTTTACATTTTTCATTCATATGCTTAGCCTTGTCTTAATGTATAGGCAATGAAAATAAAGAGATTGCCATACTTTTTATTTCCACGCCTATAGGCGTATTGTAATCACGATACATGTCGAAAATGAGATACATATACTAAGTGACATATAAATCCGAACACCCAGTTTAAATGGTTTTATTTTAATAAAAGTTGGTGAATGTATTTATCTTACTGTAAATAACACGTGAAAAAATTTTCAGCCTTATCAGTTGGACATTCCGGTATTTTATACTGCTTTTTTTTAATTCACTAACGCTCTAAAAATGAATATTTCAGCCGCAGCAAAGAATCAACGTTGGCGGATTTTGGTTCTTGACATCCTTTACGATCGGTTACGATGCCTAGAGTACGGAGACCTGTACGATTTTGTCAACTTAGTGAGTTTGATAGGGACCGTATAGTGCGACTTCGGGAAGCTGGACTTTCTTTTCGGGCAATTGCAGTTAGAGTGCAAAGAAGTGTAGACACTGTGGTTAGGTGTTGTCAGGCATGGCTTCGAGAAGGCCGTACGCAAAGAGCAAGGGGCACTGGACGCCGCCGTAGAAGAACAGACCGTGAAGATCGCCGCCTAAGATTATCGGCCTTAAGGGACCGTTTCTCCACTACCAGGTCCATTGCAAATGAATGGTTTGCAGAACACGGAAGACCTATTGGCATGCGAAGTGTTTACCGACGAATGAGAAGTTTTGGCTTGTTTTCATACCTCCCATACTGGGTCCTCCCTTTAACTCGAGAACACCGACGTAATCGCCTTGAGTGGTGCAGACAACGGTCACTCTGGGATCAGGAATGGAACAGTATTGTCTTTAGTGACGAGTCTCAATTTTGTTTAGGCATGCACGATGGTCGTGCCAGGGTTAGAAGGCGACGTGGTGAAAGGAGGAATCCACAGTTTTTTGTTGAAAGACATGTTCATCACACTGTTGGAGTTATGGTTTGGGGTACTATAGCTTATGGTTCCAGGTCACCTTTAATCTTCATCAGAGGTAACATGAACGCGCAGCGTTATATCCACGAAGTTCTAGAACCCCATCTTTTACCCTATCTTGACACCCTGGCAGATCCAACTTTCCAACAAGATAATGCCCGACCACATGTTGCAAGAGTCACAATAGACTTCTTTCAACATAATGATGTCACATTGTTACCATGGACACCAAGATCTCCCGACTTATCCCCAATTGAGCACGTGTGGGATATGATGGGTAGGAGATTGCTCAATTTGCAACGTCCTCCTCAGACTCTAGAAGCACTTCGAGAGGAGTTGGTGGTTGCCTGGAATGAGATACCACAGGAGGACATTGACCACCTGATCAGAAGCATGCCTAGGCGCGTTGGAGAATGCGTAGCACATCAGGGTGCATCCACACATTATTAAAGGTCAAAGGGCTTTAAAGCAGTGCAATCATTTTGAAATTTTTATCATTTACTTATTATGCTTCATTAAGTACTTATACAAAATTTTATTAAAATAAAACCATTTAAACTGGGTGTTCGGATTTATATGTCACTTAGTATATTTAATTCTGGATGTTATATTCCGTTGGTCTCTCTATCTGTTCGCTAATCCTTGGCCCTAACTTGAAAAGTACTGGTAGGATTTGATGAAGTTCTTACTCAACGTTAGTACTATGCCAAGAATGAAGAAGATTTGTAGTTTTTGAAAATCAAGCCAGTGTAGGCGGCGAAAAATGCCAAACACGGGCAAAATTAAAATCGCCTAAATTTTGTTTTTGACGATCCAGGGAATCCTGACGATAATTTTTTTCAATATTGGTTAAAAATTAGAGGGTATAGGTTTGTATGGCGAGGGAGGTATATCTCGATTTTTATTACATCATAGATTTCCCCGTACATTTGCCCTTAAAAATCTGACAGAGAAATGTTTTCTGTACGGGTCTGCTTCTGCTCCCGGCGGCAAGCCCTTCTTGGTAACAATTCTGGTATTACTGCTGCGCTGACGCGACGTTTTCAGATGGCCTATTGATAAGGCAGGCAAAGAACTCTTTCTAGCTTGTGCTGAACATATTCATTTATGAACTGATGACGGCGTTGCGTGCATAGTACAGAGTCAATCTACTCGACGCCATTTTTTATATTCATTTAGTACAGAAATAAGAGTCATGAATGAAAACAGTTTTTTGTCTTAAGTCATCTCTTAGGTACCTCTTTTGGGAGCGTCAATGGTTCCATATCCAGTTTACGCATACGATAAAAATGTTATTGTTATTATAAACAAGTATTAGCCAGGCTTTTGTATGTTGATTCGCTGCCGCGCCGTATTTTTGGTTAGCTACACGCTCAAATAAGTCACCATCATCCGGTGCAAACCTTATCTGCATTCAGACACAGTCCTCACGCGAGCCGCATCTCATAACACAAATCGCAAATCATCTAGCAAAGACGCACGAACTCCAGACCTACTTAAACCAAATCCGGCGCGCTTGAATCAAATCAACTGTAGCCGCAGACCGCGATTTAGTTGTTCAAAAATGAAGTGCGCTATTTTCATATTCGCGGTGATAAGCTGCCTAGTAATGTGCAGTGTGGAGTCAGTTCCAGCACCTCTGCCACAACCCTTGGGTTTCTGGGACCTGTTCGGATATGGAGGAGGTTCCTCAACGTCTAGTCGAAGACAAGCAAGGAGATACAATTCAGAAGGAGGGGGGCAGAGATACAAGGAGATATGCAGAGTGCATCAGAGTGATGCTTATACTTATCCTGGGAGCGTCGGTAGTGTCATTTGTCCTTATTAGGGCTGTATAGTGTGTTAGTGGGTTTCTGAGTGAAAATATGTTCAAGTATTTTGTAAGAGACTTGAGGAGGATTACGAGACAAAAAAAGAATTTGGATTATGTTCAATAACTCAATTATCAAGATTCTTGTTTCTAAATGAATCGGTCGGTGCAAAAAGCTCTTAAGTCCGTTTTGTTACCAAAATGCTTTTTTAGTGACGGTGGGTACTTGAATGGGTCATTTCAAAAACCAAACCTGCATCCCTGTATTGTTTTATTTTCATATTTATGAGCTATATCCACCAGATTATCAATTTTAAATTCATTAACTACAAAACTAAGATTGCAGGCCTTATTCACTTTGCCCGAAATCACTTGTTTAAGAGTTTTCCTATTTCCTGCCATTTGTATGTCTGAGAAGATACTTTAAATATTTCAAATAGCTGTTCGCATATTCAGGGTATTTCAGAAAGGCGTGCCAATATTTTTAAGGAGGAAAGTACATCCAAAAATAACAAAAAAGGTTCCCATTAATATGTGTCCAAAGATGCTCCTCTACCGAGATACAGGGTGATGAAGTTTTACCTACGAAATTAAAAAAATATATATATCTACGTAGCGGGTAAAAATACTGAGTTAGGATCTTAGACGTTCAGGGAACACATAATAAGCAATAAACACACATACTTTCCTGGTCCAAACTAAACCAGAGACGTAGAAAATGGGGTACCTGGACCCTTGGCAGGAAATAATTTTTACGCCACTGGCATTTTCGAAGAAAAGAAGTGCATTGTATAAAATGCCATTCAATTCTCCATAAATTTGGAATGTTTCTCAAATCACTCATTTTCGAGATATTTAGGTTTGAATATTTGAGGTAAAAACCTAAAATATTCTTAAGAAAATATTCTGAAAACACCGTGAAGCTTTACATTGGAAACACTATACGGCATTTGAAGAAAGCTAAGGCAACATTAATTGAATAATATGCGCCTCTTCATCAATTCGTAGCGTAGAAGCTTACCATTCATTAAACCTTTCCTGTGCACGCCACTGGTTTTGCCTGGATATTCATTTTTGATTACTGATAAAGAAACTCCAAAACAAAGAAAAAATTTGATTCAAAAATAAATTAATAAAACTAATAAGAATCAAACACAACAGTGGACATTAATTACATTTGATGCAACTTACGTGGTTAGTATTTCTAAATTTATAAGGACATAACATTGAAAACAAAAAACATCCAATCTAAAGGAGGTGTTGAAAGTGCCCACCTGTTAATTCATATAAGCCCGTGCTCTACGTCACAAAGACTCTTTGAAAAATACCTGGCGTAGTACGAACAGTGTTGAAAGCCTTCTGTATACTTCGTCCTCATACTTGTGCCCACTTAATTCCGAAATGCTAAAGAATTTTGAGAAAAAAATGCCGACAATTTCAGAAATAAAATAATAATCTCATTCAAATTGATTGGTTCCACAATTACTAGTTGTGATTTTAGACAAACAAAAGAATCATGGGTAATATCAGGAGAAGTATAGCATGAAAACCAGTGGCGTACCTAGACAATCTTCAGCTCTACTGATTGAGGATAAGACACGCATAATTATCATTCAATTGATATCAGTGGCGTAGAAAATATTCCCCATTAGGGGTCCAGGTACCCCAGCTTCTACGTCTCTGGTTTGGGCTGGGAAACTCTGTGTGTTCATTGCTAATGATGTGCTTACTGAACGTTAAAATCCTAACTCAGTATCTTTACCGGCTCACTCACCCTGTATCTCGGTAGGGGAGCATCTTTGGATCCATATTTATAGAAACCTTTTTTGTGATTTTTGGATTGGAACGTCTTTCTCAAATACCCTGTATAAAGATAACACGTACAACACCTATATTGCAATGTCAATGTTTTTGTCGAAAATAATTATTTACCTAACAAGTGCGGAAAGTGCACGCAGATGCGTATTGAAAGTGAGTACTTTCCGCACGCTGGTAGAAAAAATACATTTTGCTGCCTGCTAGTCAAATAAGGACGTGGGTTCTTCTACAACCGATTGTCGATTATTGAAGAAAGTTGAACGAATACGTCAATATATTTTTTTACTATGGTCGATTTGTGGGTTGGATGTAAAGCAGGAAATTTTACTTTTTCAAATTTTCGCTTTGTACGTGTTTTCCCTATGCACCTTAAAAATATTAAAACATACAAAATTAAGGCATGTGGTATGTTAATAAGTCAATATTAAGCAATTAAAAATGTGATTCATATGATTCTTTTGCTTGAGTTATATACCACTAATCCCATTTCCTGTTAAAACGACTAGAGTCCATAAAAGTTTTTCAAACTTTTTCTATTGTTACTATTCATAAACTGTGAAGGTTATTCGCAATTTCAATCTTCTAGAACCGATATGCACACAAAAGTACTTCAAAACTTTTATATTTATCAGTGACACTGTTTATACTGTCTCCTGAAAAACTATGGGACTTTTTTGCACTGACTGATTCAACTATGTCTTTTATTTGTAACATTTTTCCAATTGATGTATCATTTCCTAGATTTGTTTGAAAATGAATGTAATTATTAACTATATGGCTCGACCCATGAGGGCCATAATATAGTTTATATACTTTTTTATATATATTTATATAGTTTAAAATATATTCTGTACATGTTTCTTGATGTTTGTTGTGTCTGTACAATGAGGTGATGAACTGATTACATTTTTACGTTTTCAGTATCTTGAAGCAGAAAAGATATTTATACCCGTAATAATAATAATTCAAATTATTTTCTGTTATCCCACAGAAATTAGTAATATATTCGAAAACCCCTATTTTTATGCTCCATATTTCTAAACAGCATTGCTGAAACTGTATTTCGTTGTTTTAAAATAGATACCTATACATTTTTATTATTATTTTTTTTTATAAAGTACCAGTCGTTATTTAGTAATTTGGACTGTGAGAGTACCTTTTATAATGTCTGACTGATTTTGGATTGTGGAATTAAAGCGAAAATAAATATATGGATGAGATTCGTATGTTTGATTTTTTTAATTTCTGCAAAATCTATAACCTATTCGTAGTCCATTTACGCCCCGGCACAACAAAGATGCAGCGCGGCAAAGCGGCAGCCGCATAAGCGTTGCAATAGCTAATAAAACTACGAACAAGTGCAGGATTCGACAGGATATAGAACTCAGGACATACAAAACCTAAAGTATGGGCTGGCTCTACAATTAAATCAGCAAATCAAGCCTTCTTAGATGGACTAACCACTGGCCTAAAGAATCCGTCAGGTACGTGTATCTAACCAATTCGTCATTTGTGTTGTAAAAATGGTGACAAGTAGACTGAATGTATGAGCCCACGCTGAAAACTTACAGGTAGCTGCACTAAATTTACCTATATCTGGTAGATTTGGAACCAACACCTGTTAGATACTCTGCTTGTATTAATATTAGTTTTCTTGAATATTATATGAAATAATTATTTCCAGGAAAAGGAAAACGATTTGTTATCTGTCACATTGGCAGTGCCCACTGCCCTATGGGCATTTGAGCCAAAGAAAACTTCCGACTACCATGAAGAAATGGACGGGAGTTCATTGAACAATGGTTTGAAGAAACGTTCCCAAAGCTTGACGACAGTGCCGTCATTGTACTTGATAATGCTGCATACTACACTAGAAAGCTAGAAAAAAATCCCACAATGTCCACAAGAAAGGCAGAAATTCAACAATGGCTAATATCAAAAGACATAAGTTTCAATGAAATTATGGTCAAAGGAGTAGTTATCCATCTAGTCAGGCACCACAAATATAAATGTAATCTTAATGTTATTGACGAAAAACCAAAATAAGAGCGTTTTAAGGCTACCCCCTTATCACTGCTAATCAAGTCCCATTGAAATGATTTGGGCAAATATAAAAAACTATGTGGCTTCAAACAATAGAACATTCAAATTTTCTGACGTGAAAAATTTGTTTTATGAGGCTGTCAAGAGAGTGACGGCAGGCCATTGGAAAGATTGCATCCGTTACGTTCAAGAGACAATCTAAACAAAGATGTGGGTTCTGGACAATATGATCAACATTCAAATTGAACCTGTAATAACATTAACGATTCGGACAATTGTGCAAGTACTTCTAGCGAATAAAGAATTGTGAAAAGTTTGTGCATTTCTTTCTGTAAAAATAATCAATTATTTTGTTAGATTATTCCAATACCATTGAGGAAATACGGACCTGTACAATCTTGATTTTGGCCATGCTGTGTTATGTCTGGGCGTAAACGGACTACGAATGAGGTATAGCTCATAATACATCTCTTTGGTATCCTTGAAATTTTATTCATTTCCTTTCCACGCCATTTGAAAAGAAAGTATTTAGAAGTATTGAGATTTTGTATAAGAAAATCCTGTACAACTTTTGCAACAGTAAATTTTTTTGGTGGCATTATAAGATTATTGCTTTCTAATGATAAGTTCAAATTGACGTCATGATCGGGCTGGAGCTCTGAATTCCTGCATGTAGGGTGCTGTCATCATCAAAGCTGTGGGTTGGATTGATCGCACAGGAAAGGAGATCGTTGATATATGTATATTAGAAGCAATGTCGGAACCAGGACCTATATTTTGAGAACTCTGGAGTTAACATTGTGGGATGAAGAGGAGAGTTGTGCAAATGCCTATACAGGTTATCCCCACCCAAATATTTTGAAAACTGCGCGTTCTAGAAACAAGATACAAACAAAAGTTCTAGGGTTTTGAGGGGGAAGTATAACGGTGATCTTGACAATGACGTCCATGACATTTAAGGTCATTCCAAGGTCACGTAGGTATTTTCCAATGGAACCTCTTTTTTCACATCTTCATTGAAAAGAAGAAGAAATTTTACGTCTAGATATCACCTTTGTCATGACCTGGACCGACCTTCTAAGTTATTTCAAGGTCAAAAGACATCGAAAACAATTTGCTTTTTCAAAAATTTTCGACAGCAAAGCTGTGAGAAGTTTGTAGGTATCAACCAAAGATGACATTGACCATGACCTTGACCACAATCTTCAAGGTAAATCAAAATTTCCAAAGGAAGCGTTCATTTTTATACTGGAAATGGAACAAGCATGAAATTCTACATCTGACCCAACAAGTGTTAAAATGGGAGATTTCAAAGGAAATCAGAGGGTTGTTTCGACTTGACCTGTCATGGTCAAGGTCATGATCAAGGTCACATTTGGGTTATCATACAAACCTCAGGTCATAGTATTGGTCATATCCTTATTATTCTTTTCACGTCCAATGTAAAAAAGCGGGGCTATTTGAAAATACCCACATACTCTTGAAATGTTACCTTAAAGGTCGTGATCAATGTCAACTTCTTTTTTTACCCTAGGAACCTTACAAGTTCAAACTTTTTCTTGGCGCATATTCGTATTATTAATTTTTTCCCAAAGGGTGAGAAAAATTTCAGCGGACCTCAGCGCGGGCGCTATTTGGAGTTTGAAATGGGATTAGTTGATTTTTAATTTGAAAAATTGCTGTACTTGCGGCCGTCCCTTTTTCCAGGTGCCGCCCGGGGTCGCTATGTCTGCACCCACCCCGCTACGCCACTGGCGCGTAGAAAATATTCTCAGTAAATGACAATCAAATATAGATTTTTAGATATTCGGCCGGTCATTTCTAATTTTTCTTAGGACTATTGAGTGTATTTTTAAATACCTTATGAGTATTTTGTAGAGACAATATCGTGGTATAAACTGTGTTACTACTGAAATTCTGGAAAACTACTATGTCGGGGGTTCGGCTAAACGTATTGGTCTCTGTTGTCACACGATATTTTCTTGTTGGATTACAAAGTCTCTGTAGACGGTCTTCTGTGCTTAGTTGCAGTTCATAATTCAGTTTCGAAGGACAAACCTATAAGAAAAACTGTACGAATGTTGAAACACTTCATTTTTTTGTATTATACGCACCAATATATTTTCTGGATCTTCCTCAACGTCTAGCAATAACGGCAATAGCTTAGAAATATAGAAACCATAAGGTGGACAAGTCCATGGGGGAACTACGGGATCCATATTCTAATTGCGTGTAATAAAAAAATTACACAGCAATAAATCAGTCATAAAACTTCATTTTAGACGTTCTTTCACCATGGTAATGAAATTCAAATTTCAAACTTTTCCTCCATTAAACCACCGCGCCAGTCGGCGCCACTGCTAGATCTCTCATTTCGTTTAAATGACAACTTTGACATTTGGGCTCGTATTCTATAAGCACCTTCAAAGGAAGTTCGCCTGTTGGCCTGTTCCCCATTTTTAGTCATTTTATTATAACAGTTTGATGGGCAGCCCTTTGTTGGTTGGGAAAATTGAAATTTTGTAGTTGAAGCAGGAGGTGATGATTTAGAAAATACGAATCTTGAAATAAAATGATTCTGTGGTCTGTAGATGACATCGGTGACATTTTGCATTTGACCGTGTGTGTTTTGAGGTTTTGTGCTTTTGACAACGTCAAGCTGACGAGTGGATTTCGTCAATTTTTATAAACAAAAAGACAAACATTCTAATAATGTTTTAATTTTTCGGATAGTAAATTTCTGAATATGGAATCACAAAATATATGTAGGTCATGTTTAAAAAGCACTCCAAATTTTAGGAATATTTTCACCTCGGAAGAAATTCTGGGTCAACCAGTACAGTTAAGTGATATATTGGGAAGCTGCTTTGCAATATCGGTAAAAAATGCACGTTTGTAGTTTCACCAACGAATCCAACTACATAAGATTCTTTTTAGATTACAAAGGATGATGGATATCCGGAAAATATCTGCCTCAAATGTTTTCAGTTGGCAAAGCTATCTTACTTGTTTAGGAAGCTTTGTGAAAAGTCTGATGCGACATTGAGGGAATACTTGCATGCAAATTTTTTTAGTGCTGACAGTAGGCATTACTATGTCCAGAGTACAAGCAGTGAAAGATGCAGAATAAATGCTGGAGGTAACTCGAGGTAAGAGGAGCCTTTTCAAGCAAGATTTAGTTGTCTGGGTAATTCTCTAGATTAGCTACACCTTTTTTGTTTCTCCATCTGAATAGGCACTAGGGTCTGAAATCATTTTTTCATCAAAAGCGGCTGGTGTAGCTAAGCTAGAAAATTACTGTTGTCTGTAATGGGGGAAAATCTAAACAAAGAATAACAGTTACTGCAATGAGTCACGCATGTGTATATTTTCCTCAGTATAGGATTTTATCAGCTTCCAACTAGTTGCAGCAAAAAGTGGCATTTATTTTCGTAAAAAATTTCTGTTTTTTTTGAATCATGACCTATTCCATACACTTTTGCATTTGTTCTGATATCAACTTGAATCAATCTCCCAGTCTCTAAAAACTACATGAAAATGAGTACCAAATATATATATATATATATACAGGGTGACTTTGAAGTTGAGTCATTAATTTTCAGATAATGATTGTAGAAGGAAGACAAACCAAAATATGTGTGTAAAAATAAAAAAATAAATAAAAAAAAATGTTACCTTGTTTAATAAAGTATCGTCCCGACAAGTATTTCAGTGCGGACCTGTATTTGATCGTGCAGTATTGGAGCAGCATGCCCTGACCTATGAGGTCTTAAGTCACCTGATTCACGAGCACTTTGTACTACATTAACAAAGGCACGAGGGGTTGGTTGCACTCGATTGGGAAACCGATTCGCATAAATCCGTGATGCATCCGGGAGCATTTTGTAAAGACTGCCCCCCCGTAAATAAGAATCATGTCCACAAGTTCAGCATTTTCGTAAACATGTGCCATTTTTGATTTCGTTTGAGCCACGCAACAAACACTTACTATTTATTCACTAACGCGTTATCGACTGACGAAAAACATCGTGATAAACGTTTCAAATTCTTTCGCTTTTTTGTTTCCGATGCGATGAACCGGTCAGGCGGATTATATCCGTTGTCGCCAAACACGAACATATTATTATTGAGACAGGGCAGTACTCAAACTTCCAAAGGGCTATCACTTTGTTACTTTAATTTTACCAGAAAAATGGTATATACAGGGTGACTTCGAAGTTGAGTCATTTATTTTAACAGTGAGTAGATCTGATCAAAAGAAATGTTTTTTTCCTTTACCATTTTTCTGGTAGAATTAAAGTAACAAAGTTATAGCCCTTTGGCACTTTGAGTACCGCCCTGTCTCAATAATAATATTATGTGCTCGTGTTTGGCAACAACGGATATAATCCGCCTTATCGGTTCATCGCATCGGAAACAAAAAAGCGAAAGAATTTGGAACGATGTTTTTACAATTATTTTATTCAGTTGTATACAGTCAGTGTCAGTCGGTAACGCGTGAGTGAATAGTGGTGTGTGTTGCGTGGCTCAAACGAAATCAAAAATGGCACATGTTTACGAAAATGCTGAACTTGTGGACATGATTCTTATTTACGCGGCATCACGAATTTATTGCGGATCGGTTTCCCAATCGAGTGCAACCAACTCCTCGTGCCTTTGTTAATGTAGTACAAAGGGCTCTTGAATCAGGTGACTTAAGACCTCACAGGGGACGGCATGCCGGTGCTCCAAGACCGCACGATCAAATACAGGTCCGCACTGATATACTTGTCGGGAGGATACTTTATAAAACAAGGTAACCTTTTTTTTTATTTTTACACACATATTTTGGTTTATCTTCCTTCTACAATCATTATCTGAAAATTAATGACTCAACTTCAAAGTCACCCTGTATATATATATATATATATATAATAGTTTAAAAAATGAGGTACTTGGTACATAGAGATGGTTTGAGATAAGCATGTTTTTGCTGCTAGGCATTCATTTTTCAAATGACTATTCAAGGCGAGCTATTTTATTGCATATATTATCAAGAAACAAAGAACTTCAATGATTCTTGAGTCTAACTGCATATTTTTGCAGAAATGTTTGTTTTCCAAGTAATTTTGAGATTGAGTAATATATGGAGAGTATTTTTACTTTTTATATTTGTACAGGAATGGTCCATCTGATCCACATTGTTCAGGGTTATGTACAAGAAGAAATTAAAGGTCAAATAAATATCTACTAGCTGTAGAAGATAAAAGAGTATTATTTATATGATAACTACAACTTCACAAAATACAGATTTGAGAACAGTTAGGTCCTCAAGCCAAAAATTTCAACAAGCACATGGAATACAATAGATGACAGTTTATGTTAAAAAAATTAGGGATACGTTGAAGAATAATTAGTGTAAGATATTATGTTGAGCAAGTAGAATTACATTAAATTAGTTATTCTTTAACAGGAAGTTCTTGATCTCTAAAAATAGTTTGACCATATACTCATCACTTTCATGTAAATAAAAATACATGTATGTCAATGTTGTTTTGTTATGGTTGTAAATATATGTTTTTCTAGTGACACATCAATGTATTAGTTTTGTAAGAGAAATAAAAAACCATGATTATAAAAAAAGTTTTATTTTCTCATACTGATTAAAAAAATACACAATGTTTCATATAATCAGTTTCAAGGACTATATACTATAACTGAACAGGTAGGCAGTCAGGAATACAAATTGACAAAAAAAAGTCTAATATATTTGATAAAAACTAAATGAAAAATCCAGGAATACCAAGTCCCAATACTGTAAAGCATTTTTGGTCATTACAAACATATTTCCAATGTTGTCAGCTATACACATCTCTAGCTCTGAACAACTCTATTCACTCTCACTTTCTTCATCAGAATCTTTCAACGCCTGCTTGCTATGTTTCTTAGTCCTACTGTTTTCAATGTCTGATCCTTCTTCATCAGATGAATAAATAGCTCCACCTAGACAAAAATGAAACATGATTGCTGTTAGCTACCATTTCCAAACGAAAAAATGTTTCTACTATTTCCATTCGCGGGATCAAAAACATGAGACCTTGAAACATGTTCAAGTTGACCTTTAAATTATTTAATGGTCAAGGGTATCTACGAACTAACATTTTTCACTCTTTCCATTGTTGGGACTAGAAAGATACGTTTCCATTTAAAATTAGGTCAACCTCTACATAAAGATCAGATCATTAGTAGACTGTTTTCGCAAAACCCTACAACCACTGTCTTGATCTTTTTTTTGTTTGATCAGTATTTTTTAGGATGGGGAGGGGGGGGGGGGGGAGTGACTTGTACATTGAACATTCTGTATGACACAGTAAAATGTACATACACCTAGTACGAGAGATGTCTTTTAAGTTTTGCATATGGAAATATAACAACAGGGTAGGTAGTTTTAAATGACTTTATTGTTTTTCGAAGTATTCTCCACGAAGATTAATACACATCTGCATGCGCTCGAACCTCGTTTGCTGGCAGATCCAAAACGGCATTTTTGAATGCGTCAATTGCTTCTTCTGGTGACTGGAACCTTTGACCACACAGTCTGTTTTTAACTTTCGGGAAAGTAAAGAAATCGTTAGGACTTAGATCGGGACTATATGGAGGATGGTCCCATAATTCCACGTTTTCTTCCGTTAAATACTGCCTTGTTTTTTGGGCTGTGTGTGAGCTTGCACTGTCTTAGTGAAGGATGATTTTTCTTTCAGGGTTGATTTTTCGAAGCTCGGTGATTACTTTTGGCAAAGAAATGGTGGTATACCAATCTGCAGTAACAGATCTTTGCTCATTAAGAGGAATTGTTGCAATATGACCCTCTTTTTCGAAACATTTCGAGAACAGATGACTTTTGTTGGCTTTTTTTCACCATGGAACACCCAAACAGCCGACTGTCGTTTATTTTCTGGTTCATAACAGTAAATCCACGATTCATCGCCACTAACAATGCTGTACACATTTTTGAGTTTCCGGAATTGAAACGGTCAAGCGTTTTTTGACACCAATTAACCCTGGCTGCTTTCTGCTCTTCAGTCAACAAGTGGGGGTAACCAACGGGAAACTAATTTTCTTACTCCTAATTCTTCATGTATTTTTTTTTGAATTGAGGTCTTTGAGATCTTCAAGGACGCCTCAATCTCTCGATATGTCACTTGTCTATCTTCACTGATGAGTTTGCGCACAGCATCGACGTTTTCCTGGGTGACTGCCGTTTTTGGTGCACGCACCCTGGGATCGTCGCTAAGACTCACCCGTCCACGTTTGAATTCTCCATACCAACGGGAAATTGTCGACTGATGTGGCGCTTCGTTGCCGAAAACAGGCAGTAATGAGTTACAGCAAGGCATTCTTGTTGCGATAATTGTGTCTGAAAGTTGTAATAAATTATGGCGCGAAAATGTTCTCGGTTGAGTTACATTTTTCTAATGACTTGGTGACACTTAAAAATTCACTGTTGTGAGAACACTGCATGTATTGTTGTGAAACTTTGAATTTAAGTTTACTAAAGAGTAAGGTTAAGATTCAGTTCTGACGTTTCGATCGGCGCGGCCTACTATGTTTCTATATGCAGAACTTAAAAGACATCCCTCGTAAAACCTCAGCTTAACTAACAATCAGCTATGAAACTCTCCTGTCAGGGTCAAAAACAGCCGTCATTTCGGCGGAAATATAAATTCCCCAAGTAGAAATATGAAAGAGTTTTTAGTGCTCAACAGCCGGTACACTATTATAGAAATATTATCATTTTAAGAATATCTGCGGCCACTGTCATGATACGAGGCAACACCGCATGCTGCTGAGCACTAAAACCTTGGTAGTGGGGGAATTTACGTTCGACATTCTCCGCCGAAATGGCTTTCGTTTTTTACACTGCCAGGAGAGTTCCATAGCTGATTGTTGTCTAAGCTGTGGTAAAACGTCCAACGTGGCAGCAAATAACAGCTGATTATCTAGCAACATTTCAAAATATCAATATCAAAATATTGACAAAAAAACACAATTCTGATGGATGTCAACGCGAGATCTGTAGGCAGTCACGAAGACTAGAGAAATCTAGTGGCCGTAGAACATGGGGTAGAACGTCTGCGCATTGAAAAATGTCAACATAACCTGCCGCAATCTTTATGTGCATTTCATTCACTTTTTTTCATGCTGTGTAAGTTTATTAGTCCGTGGTTTATTACAATTATCAAATGTTTCTGGTTGCAACTCGTCAGAACTGTCAAAATTGGAGTTGTTTACAGTCATGATGATGGCAACAGAGAGAGATGCCCTATGCGCAGCACATGAAATTCATTAGCTGCGCATGCATATCGTCAACATTTTTTGCTTCACATCCACTCCGTGAGTTTAACCACAGCCGACGTCGGCTGTGGTTTAACCTCCTTTATCTGATATTCATGGTTGTGGTCTTCTGTAAGCTACATATTCATACTTCCGCTTTCATTTAGAAAACATTCTTGGCACACAAGCAAAATGGCTGCTAATCATCGTGACTATAGGCAGGTAGGAATAAAATAAGATAAACTGCCTTTGACTATATTATAAACAGTTCTGAAAATAATCCTTAGTTTTAAGTAATTCATTACTGCTAATAGTACATACTTTAATACAAAGATGTCACTTGCTGATTAGCTGTGCACCTCAATAGTCGTTAAAACGTAATGGATACTCGAGAAAAAGAAAACGTACGTTTGAAGCCGGTAAGTAGGGTACAATTTTCCTTAAAATTGAAAGTGACACCTTTGAGGGAGGATTCCAATATATTTTCCTTCAACTCTAGAGTCTCTCAAGGATAGATAAATGCTACTGTAATTTTAAATTACCTTTTGATGTCACTCCGGTAGCTGCTTTGGTAAAATAAAATTTAAGTGGTTAAAAAAGTTTGCATTACTGTTCCTACATTCAACAAATATGTCTAATCAGATGGCTCTCAAAAGTCTCATTTACATTATTTTGTGGTCAAAGCAAAAAATAAAACATACCTTTCTTGGCAGGAGCTGCAGCGCCACTCTTGTACTGGTTCTTGATTGCATTAAGGGAAATACCACCCTCATCTTCGCTACCCTCCTCTTCTCTGCCTTGATAAGTGCTGTGCACCCTAGTTGCAGGATCAGTCTTCTTCCTTGTTGTTTTCGGCTTGGCTGCGGTTTGTCTAAGTTTTTCTTCCTCTTTCTGTAAAAAAATTTATATTCATTTTCCAGTTAAATTGGCGCCTAAGGTCGAGAAACTCGTTGACTATTAAAAATATTATGAAATCTCTTTTCTTTTATATGTTATCTTCTTAATCCGAAAACATCTATGTATTTTAAAAGTCTGTTCTGTGGTGGTCTTATTGCAATGAACAGTACTGCCAAAATTCAACATAATCAGCATAAGGACCTTTGAAATAATAACGAATTTTTTTTGAAACTTTGATACCCAGTATCTTGAAAAAAAGACTTGATATGAGGCAGCACAAGTGCCATCGATTACCAGAATCGACCACTGCCAAGTAGTAGGCAACAGCTGTCGATGGTTAGCTGTCTGTGGAGGAAAGAAGGAAATTTATATTAGTAGTATGTTCAATGGAGTGTAGACCATATCTACAGCCTCTCTGTGTTCACTCTAGCAGTGGTCGATTTTGATAATAAATGGTATTTTGTGCTGTCTTATTTCTGGGCAGATGTTTATGTAAACTTTTTTCTACTTAAATTTGGTTCATAAATAAGCCCTTGTAATTACAGGATATGGGGAAATGCTTCAAATAGAAGTTGCAGGATTTTCCCTCAACTAGCGGTCGGTGACCATGGATTCGATCTTGACCTTAAAGGTCATTTGAAGGTCAGCTTCAAAATTTTAAATGTAAACCCCTATTTCTGACCCGGCAATGAAACGAGCGAAAAAATTTACATTCAGATATGACCTTGAATGACCCTCATATGTGACCTTGAATTACTCCCCGAGCAACTAAACTAAGGATATAGTCCCGACCGACTAAGACAACGTTAAGCGTCCCGGCTATATAGTGGTAGTTTGACCTTGAGGGATCTCTTTTTTATCGCCTCTGATCATTCAAGGTCAAGCATGAGGGTGATTCAAGGTCATATCTGAACGTGATTTTTATGCTCGTTTCATTGCCGGGGTTTACATTTAAAATTTTGAAGTTGACCTTCAAGGTCAAGATCGAATCCAAGGTCACCTTCTGATAGCGGAGGAACAATCCTACAACTGGTATTCAAAGCATTTCCCTATAAAATGCACTCCTGAAGAGTTATCAGTATCCAGCATTAGCGGTAGTGGGACCTTGATGGTCAAACATGAGGGTCATTCAAGGTCATGTTTGAACGTAAAGTTTTCCGCGCGTTCTATCGGAATCACCGACCACCAATTGAGGGAAGAGAGAGTTATCGAGCCATTCTTGTACTTTTACCACACCCTGTTTATAACAAAATATATGATTTTACATCATACTTCAAAATATCTAGTTACCTGATGTCAACACTGACAAACTCAAATTCATGAACACACCCGATTTGATTTGGACTGGTCCATCCAAGGGGACTGGTACAAATGATTCCTTTTTTGTTAACATTAAAAGTTGTTTTAAAAAATTATGTCAATTATTGAAGTATTCAAGAAGAACTACATGAGGAGCTATAGTCAAAACTACCTATTTCTCAACGGCTCTAAGCTATTTCGAAGTATAAAGTTCAGTTGTCAATATTGTTATTTACGCAGATGTGTGTGTAAAAAAAAGTCTGCAAAACCCATGCATGCAAGCTCTTTCAGTGCAAGACGGCATTGTTTTGTCTCAAAGACAATTGCATTCAATTACTTGCAGTTTCCTCGATTCAAATGATCAAGCAGGTTTGCTACTCTGAACGAATGGAATATTTCCTGTGACATTTCTTACCAATAATTTTGGTTTTGGTCTTTTACCCTTCAGAAAACATGATTTTATTATCCAAAAACTAGTTCCAATCGCCGGCATAAAAAATCAAAACAATCAAACGTAGATCTGTAAACTATTAAATGTAACCACACAAACCACCAAACCGGCCTAGGGCCATTAGCATTAATTGGCGAGTTAGTAAATATTCCACCAGAATTGCAGACAAACTTGCATGAAAAATTAAACTGATTGATTTTCATGTAACTGCCGGGTTGCAAGAAAATGACAGTAAGACAAAGTTGTTTTGTTAGCGCGCATGAATCTGAGCAACATTTTTCTTGCTTTTGATGATATAATACAAGGTGGTCGATATGTAACTGACTGTATCTTGAATATTTGTGAAATGAAATAAAATACGTCCATTTTTTCATCTTAATCTTTTACTGAAACTTAGAAATTATGTATGAAAAATAATATCAGACAAATGTCCTCCTCTAGAAGCCGCGAAAACCTGAGCCCTCTTGATTAAATTTTCCATCACTTTTTGGTAGGTATTGGGAGGAATATTTCCAATCGCTTCCGTAATAGTTCTTCAGCTGCTCTACAGTACATATTTGGTTGGTTGGCATAAACCCCATTTTTGAAAAATCCCCATAAAAAACAGTCAGGAGCCGTTAAATCAGGTGACCTTGGTGGTCAGTTGACCATCATCAAGTCGAGACATTAAACGTTCCGGAAATATTGTTCGCGAAAGATTCATTGTTTCCCTAGCTGTGTGACAAGTTGCTCTGTCCTGCTGGAGCCACATGTTTTGCAGGTTAAATTGTTGGATTTGAGGAGCCAGAAAGTTTTGCCCCATATCGCGGTAGCGCTCGCCAGTGACTGCAGCGTCTTCGAAGAAGTAAGGTCCAATGACACCTCCATACCAAACTGCCACTCGACGAAGATGTAGTGGTCGTTCTTGGGAACGATGTCTGGTGTCTGGTAGACGTTTCAGGGCGCTCCACTACACTTTCACGAACTCTCTCGATATTTTCCGGAGTACGAACAGTTCGAACACGGCCCGACCTTGGCAAGTCTTTAACTTCACCTGTTTGTAAAAATTTCCGCACCAACTGACGGATGGTGTTGACAATGGGCACTTTATTTCGACTGAAATCTTGTCGTAGCTTCCGAATCGTTGCAAAAATTGACTCATTATTTAAGTAAAACGGTTTAACAATACGGACGCGTTATGAGACCGTGAGGCACTCCATAATGAATTGGACACATGCGCTTTAAACAACTACTACAGCGCCACCTACTGGAATGTGTGTATCAAAAATGGCGCGCACTTTAAATCAGTTAGTTATATATTGGCCTCCCTGCATAAATATATGTAATATCCGTTTACCCGTTTTACATCAACAATTTATCCGCGAATTTATTCAGATGGACTTCTTCAAGGTCGTCCTGATTATATTTTGCGGTGTCTACATCAATCATCAAATGCATGGATTATCTGACAGTAGACAGTGCTGCCAACTACACAACAAATTGTTGTTAGAAACATCTTGTTTTTATATGTATTGTGATTTTGATTTTAAGGAAAATCTCATTAACAAAAACTATATTGTTGAGTACTGTAAAGTTATATGCTTGAATTGAAACGTTTTTGGATATAATGGAAAGGAAAGCAAGGTTGGCAAAAATTATAATATGTTATAATGGCGTGATGAAGAACTTCAGGGATTTATTTGACCTCAGATTCCAGTTTTATACTTCTTAAATTTGACCTGAACTTAATTCATAAAGAAATTGATGGATACATTATCGATGCAAAACGCGTATAAAATGAATATTATTAGTGAACAAAAATTATTCATGAATGAAAACGGAAGATGTCGCACCATAAAATTACTGCTATACATTAATAAATATTACCTTAAGCCTAGTGGCTTTATCCAAGTCAGGATCAATGCCCACTTGTGACATAATCTTGATACCAGAGGTTTTCGTTGACCGATCGGCCAATGACAGTGTCATCTTTCTGTGAGTGAAACTCTCAGTCGAGTGTGGTCTGAAACTCAGTTTTGTTCTGAATACCGCTTGACCTTGCAAACCCGTACCTTGACGGATGAAAAGATGATTGTGGTCTCCCTGGAATAAATCATATTATATATAACTTATTTGAAACAAAAACATAACTTGGTGCCTAAAAAATACTAAAAGACTATTTAGTTATACACTTCTTTTCTACATATTTTCCTTTTAAGATAATTTTAGGATATAGTTGTTTACCTGTAGAGGTTGTTTGTAGACATCAAATATTTCAGCACCTAAATGTAAACTATAAGATCCGTCTGACCACCTTACTATTCTCGCATTGGAATCTTTTTTTATATTCCCTTCTTCATCCACAACTTCCCTCCATCTTATCGTATTTTCTACTTTCAACTTCAACCTTGAAAAAAATGTGATAAATTCAATGCTTGCAACCAGTTTTGCACGCAAAAAAATTAGTTGTACGGATAAAAAAAATGACAAGTAAGTTGACTCTGTACTTCCTATCATCAGCTCGTACATGATTATATTTGGCACAAGTCCACAAGTTAGCCCTTTAGAGAAAAAAGTTAGCTACGAGCATGTGTAGCAAAAAGTTAAATGACCTTTCCCGCCCCGAGGGGAATTGCTGCAGCCGCACAAGGTCATTGCGATGGCCAATCCCGCGTGAATGACGACACCATGCACAGTTCATACAACCCAGAGCAGTAAGGAATGGATTACCGACTGTGACGCACGACCACCGATGACGTCGGATCTCCATCAGGAGAAAACGTTGCACGTACCGACACCCGACTGTAGGAGTTTTAAAGTGGACGGCACATCTATGATGGCTGAAATATGGCTCATACGTGCGTAGAATTACTGGGGTTGGAGGCGTATAAATATACCAACGTGAAAAAATGAGATATATCCTCCCTCACCCCCTGCAACACCTACCCCCCAATTTTTAACCCCTACAAAAATTTTCTCGGAAATGATCAGGATCGTCTGAAACGTCAACAAACGAAGTTTGAGCGATATTTGTTTTTGGCCTTTTTCTCCGTCGCCACTGGACCGACTTTCAAAAATTACAAAGCTTTTGCGTCCTTAGCGTAGTAGTAACATTATGTCAAAATTTCATCGAAATCCGAGCGGAATTTCTCAAGTTATAGGCGGTTATAGCGGACAGATCGACGGAAATGAGTAACATGGTTTTTCGTGATATAACATAACATCTAAAAAACATAACTTCGCTTTTACAATACTTCCCCGTCAGTAGGTGTCGGAAGTAAGACGTTTCTTACCTGGCGCGACCTTCTTCATCAAGCGTTTCTTCTTCATCAATTTCATCCTCGTAAGTCTCGGGATCGAATGGCCTGGTTTCAACTGATAAAAAGTTAGGCAGTTTCACGAAATGAATATCTCTGCCCAAGTCACATGTTATTTTCGGTACTTCTACGTCAATACGAGTTTCTGGAATGGGTTCAGGTTCAGGTTCTTTCTCTTCATCCTACAAAAAAAAGCAAAAATTGTATCGTATAGATGTCGTTACCATTCTTGGCGGGTCAAAGTAAGACTACCAGTATCACCTTATATAATATCTCCATCTCCCTCATACATGTACATGCAACCTAACCCTGTGTGTGAACATTTGTTCGGTAAGCTCAAAGACATACATTTTTTAGTTGCGTATCTCCGTCTCTAAAACTTTCTCGTTACGAATGAATGCCCTTCAATCATATTTGTCAGAGTGACAACGTACTTGACATCGGCGTGCAATTCGAGTTGTCCTGTTATCAATCTTCATGTAAAATTGTACAATGCCTGGGAATACCATCAATGGAGAAGGCCGACAGCTCGTGCTAAATTTATTAGAGCATGGTATTTCCAGGGAGAGAATGAAACCAGCCAGCGGTCCCCTGTTACCCACTTTATGCGTACCGGAGAGAGTAGCAGATGAGCTAAACATTAGTCTGCGCAGTATTCCGCCCATGGTACGGATACTCGATCTGTTTACTCATTTCATATGGCGGTGATGACGTAACCACCAAGAACGCGGGATTAGTGTGTTTCTCTCCCTCCTGTTCTGGTTGCGCGGTATAGCGGGGTTATCGCAGTTTTAGTTGGAGAAGGCGCACACTTCTGGAGTGCGCCATTGTCCATTGCGCGTGCATTTTATGCAGTAATTGGAGGTGTGTTCGAATTTTTATGTTCGTAGGAGTATTTTAATAAAATATTGAGTTAAAATGAATGGTTTCACTGTGGAATATTTGAAACATAACTTCAGTTCATTGAGTTTGGAGCAAAAAATTGAAATAAAAAATGCGGGAAGACCTACACCAGAAATTAACTCGACTCAGACCACAAAGGGTAAATCTAGAGACTTTATTAGAAAGTTTAAAATGGAAATATATTAAAAGAATAACTGGATTTGTGGATGCAGCACAACAAACCGTTTGTTTTGTTTTTACTGTTTGTTGTTTGGTCGCGGGGTTGCAGAGCCTGCCTGGACAAAAAATGGAATAGCCGACTTGGGACATTTAGCACAAAAAATTAAGAAACATGAAAACACTCAATATCAATGCGCAACTGGAAATGCAGCTTTTGGGAAAAGTAGATGTACGGCAGCAGTTGGACAGTGCATTTAGGCACAGTATTCAACAGCAAAATGAACAAGTCAGAAAGAATAGGTATGTGCTTTCAAAAATTATTGATTGCACAAAATTTCGCGGAGCTTTTGAATTAGCCATCCGCGGTCACGACGAAAAAGATGGTTCATCAAATCCTGGTATTTTTAGAGGTTTAATAAATTTCACTGCCGAATTAGATATAGCACTTAATGATCATTTTGAAAAATCTACAGTATTCAAAGGGGTATCAAAAATCATTCAAAACGAATTGTTAGATTGCATGTTAAAAGTGGCTCAGGAAAATATAAGAAAAGAAATTTTGGAAGCTGAATTTGTTGCTGTTATGGCCGACGAAACAACGGATGTAGCTAATTGTTATCAAATGACTACATTATTTAGGTACATTCTACCAGATGGAAGGCCAGTTGAACGTTTTTGGAATTTTGTTACCCCCCCTGACCACGATGCAGAGAGTCTCTCAGAATGTGTGAAAACCAATTTGATACAAGTGCTAGATAAACCAGAGAAACTGATAGCTCAAAGTTATGACGGCGCTAGCGTAATGAGTGGACGTCATGGACGTGTTCAAGCTCTTTTTCAACGTGATTATATTTATGCTTATTTCGTTCATTGTTATGCCCACCAGCTAAATTTGATTTTGTCCCAAGCCACAAGCCAAAATCAAGAAGTACGTATTTTTTTCAAATTTAAGCGATATTTCAACTTTTTTTTCTCATTCTGCACAACGAGTTGGTGTTGGTGCAAGAGTTCCTAGGTCTTCTGTTACAAGATGGAATTTTAAAAGCAGATCTAATACAGTATACGAATATCGCGAATTGTTAATAGAATGCATGGAAAAAATAGAAACTGTTACCATCAATCAAGCCACTGGTAATGGCCGTATGCTACGAGATTCTAAGTTTGTGTTCTGGCTAACTGTATTTCATCGAATATTGGCACATGCTGATATTTTATATAATCAGTTACAAAAAACAGTGACTGACCCAGTGCAAATTCAGACTGCCATAAAGTGTTTTGGAAACTGCATCCAAAAAGAGAGACTGCTTGGAAACAATTGAAACTGAAATTTCTGAAGATACCACTACTACTCAAACTAAAAAGCGTCGTGCAAATGAAGACCAGCATATTTGCAGAACTGTTGCAGCCAAGGAAGTTTGCGATACCATAATTACACACGTAACAGATAGATTTTCTTTTACAAAACATTTAAATGCAGCTATTCTTTTTTGTTCTGATAAATTTCCACAATTAGAAAAGCATTTTCCATTGCAATATTTGGAAACTGTAGTAGAAGCATATTCGTTTTCAGATAAAGTTCGTCTCCAGACTGAATTGGAATTAATTTACCGGCTACCTGATTTCATAAATATGAGTGGTGCCATTAGTTTTTTACAGTTTTTATAGAAAATAATCTTCAGAGCATATTTTCTGCCACCTTTACACTTTTACAAATAATTGTTACCATACCAATGACTACGGCCGAAAGTGAAAGATGCTTTTCGACACTGAAGAGAATAAAAACATTTTTGCGAAGTTCTATGAATGAAGAAAAACTGTCAGCCCTAGCAATGCTATCTATCGATAAAAAATGTATAGCGGGTATTCCAAACTTTAACGAGGCTGTTATTGATAAATTTTCTGCAAATAAAAACAGGAGAATGGACCTTACATTTAAACACTGTGCTCATTAAAAAAATTGTATATTTTAGTACTCTTATTGCCTTCTACGTCACCCATAAGAAAAAAATTTTGGTGGTGGCAAAAAAAAAATATTTCATACCACTTGTGTATCATAGACCACGAGCGGCCGCTGCTACAACTATACTTATGATTGTTCATTTTTTTCAACTAAACGGTGCACATTGCTGCATCTTGGTGTGAGCATTACCTTGCTAGATCTGAATCATGGAGTCATGTTCTCAGAAACACTGTGTAATTAAGTATCCCCCTCTTCAGTTTTCAATCCCCCCTTTAAACAGATTCCAGACCACCACTGCGCTCCCTTCAGTGCATAAGGAATTAACCAGATAGTCTAAGATCTTTCTGAATTATGAAATGTTGAATATCTGATAAGTTGGGAAGAGGGCTGATGTACAGGTGCTGGAGGTGAGAAATGTAAGTGAAAGTAGGACTAACTAAACTTTAATTGTAATATCTGATAACAAAAAGTAGTAAAATAATGGGCAAAATCCGCAAAAAGGAAGAAAGTGGATTCGAGCAGAAAATAGGATAGGTAACCCGATCGATACGTATTTCTGCTGGTTGGCTTCATCAGGCCCGAAATGAATGCACATATGCAACTACAAAAGTAGGTACACATGCCCACACATCCGGATATGTAAACCGGAGTGTAGCCTGAGGAAACGAAGATGGAGAGGGAAAAAATCGGCACACGAAGACCACAACAAGAGCCAACCTACACATTATAGTATAAAATGGCTAGAAGACCTCGAATTTTCAAGGAGACATCTAACCACAGCCACGCGGCCGGTTATAGCCACTTGCTGTGGTACTTCAAGCCCAAAGGATCTACAAAGAGAAAATGATCATGGGGAGAAAGGTATATAACAAAAAGTAGGAAAATAATGGGCAAAATCCGCAAAAAGGAGAAAGGTGGTATATATTGCAAAGCATTATTACAGAGTGATATTCAGCAATGACAGACCCTTCCCGCCGATAGATGTTTCAAAGCTTAAATAGGGTGTACAGCTGCATTGACTTCCTCTGTGTATGACCATTAAGAAAAAAAGATTTAGGGCTGTATCGTCCTACATCGTTCCTACAATTTAAGGACGCCTTTATGGCTTCCTTGATTTTCATATTTTCTACTCTTCCATGTCAGTGCTCTGTTTTGAGATTATTACAAATATCTATTTGCATCAAATTGTTCATGCTTTTGATTTATATCATCTGTTATATAGCCTGATGCTGACAGAGAACCTAGAAATATCCCAGCCTTTCTGAAGGACAGGAAAGACTATGAAAATCAAGGAGGCCATAAAGGCGACCTGCAATATTGTAGGAACGACTGACCATACGGCCCTGAGAGTCTAATAAAAGTTTTTCATGCAATGTTTTACCTTAGATAAGGGCTATGAAATGAATCAATTTAACATGCATATGTCCCAATCCCAACACAGGCATTTATCACTTAGCTTCTCAAAAAGGTATTTAGGACCTTATAAATTTGTAAAATCAAGAATGTACCTACATCTTCAATTGCAGGTCTCTGTTCAGTCTCATCAACCTCAGACCTAGACCTTCTGCCATCATCCGACCTCGATCTCCTTCCATCCTCCCTATCAGAGGTATCCTTCTCCTTTTCTTTCTCATCCTCCTTCTCACCTTCACTGCTCAGACTGATATCATCCGCGTCATCGCCGAAAATATCAGCGGCATCTACTTGTTCCTTTTCTTCCGCACCTTCATCTTCGCTGTCAGAAATCAGAACCCTCTTTTTCTTTGGGCTGCCCTCTTCGGAACTGTCACGCTGCCTTTTCTCGCTTTTTCCAGCGTCTTCGTCGATTTGAAGGTTAGGGCTGTTCGAGCCGCTGTGGGCTTTCGATTTCGACCTCGATCGGGATCTAGAGGAAAAATAAAGGATTCAGGTTGGTTTATTGCATTCTAACAAATAGTTCACGAAGTATCTTCGCATCTGCTCGATCAGATATTGTTATTAGTTTCTTTTGCAACTTATGGTATTTTTCACGAGTATCCGTTAAACGTAGCGGACGTCTACTTTTTTACACCAGCAGCAACCGCGCAGGCAGAACTCTAAATGTTAGAGTACTGGGGCGGCTATGAGGAGCTTGAAGAGAATATGTTGATCCAATTTTTGAACTACCCATAGTTAGTAGAACTGGGAAAAGCCTCCTCATGTAGATTGTTTCATAATCTCGATATCCTGATGGATGTACGAAGTTCGACACGGTGAGGATTGGAGGCTGAAGTCAGGCGTGTCTGTCTGGAAGACCATTGGCGTATCAACAGAAGAGAACTAGATCGCCGACGGCCCGCCGGTGCGAAAGGATCTCAAGGCTGTCCGTTAGAGAAAAGTAATCGATCATAGATAATGTAGTCAAGGCGGCAACACCCCAAACATGTGAGCGGTACTCGAGGCTAGGTCTTATCTGGCCCTGATACAGACTAAGGACGTCAGAAGGAGAAAAGTAAATGTATTCCTAAATGAATAGCATTTTCCCAGCAGCTGCCGCTATTGATGAGACGCGTTCGGGCCAGATCAAGTGCTGAACTCTAGCCGAACTGAACGACTCTTTGGTAGAACTCTGCCATCCATCGATACCGGATGAGCGCTAGGACGCTTTTTGTTCGTCAAGGTGCAGTACTGTGTTTTGGAAGCATTAAACTGTACCAAATTGTTGCGTATCCAAGCAGTGACAACCTCCAGGTCTTTACCGAATCTGCATGCTGTCAGGCTCAAAAATTGCGTCAAACATTGTTCCGCCTTCGACGGAAAATAGAGGTTGTGAAGGCAATCTATTTCAGCTATTGAAAATACAAATTTGTTAAAGTAGGACATATTTCATTTTTATCTTCTGAAAGAACAGTTGGCACAAAATATATTTGTCACAGAACAGCAAACAAGTTTTTTTTAATTAACAGAAAGTTGCCGGTAATAAAACAAGGAAAACTTGTCTTTATTTTCTAAATATGATACAGATAATTTCTTACCTAGACCGAGACTTTCTTGAAGCAGGAGACCCACTTCTAGACCTATCAGACCCAGACTTTCTGGATGCAACAGAACCTGATCTTCTGGAACCTGCAGAGCCAGATCTAGATCGTTTTGAACCAGCAGATACTGATCTAGACCTTCTTGAAGCTGCTTTAGAAGCTGGTGAGCCCGATCTTGACCTTCTTGATCCTTCTTTTGAATGCTGGGACCCAGCTGATCGAGATCTCGACCTATTTCATAACAATATCATGAATAAGGTGAACTTAGCTATAAAAGGGTCAAACAAGTATTTTTATATTTGTCTGGAAAATGAAAGAAGTTACCTGAATCATCTATAGACACAAATGAAATATTACATGATCTTTATTTAAGATTGTTATAGGTCTGAGAAATCATATTTGAAAGGATTTTAAAAATTCTAGAACCATAAAAAGCATAAGCATAACTGAAAAAAGTTATATTCAATCTTTTTTACCTTTTTGAAGCTGCAGATCCAGATCTGGACCTATTTGAAGCTTGAGACCTAGATCTTGACCTTTTAGACCTTGCTGAGCCAGATCTTGACCTTTTTGATGCTACAGATGCAGGCCTTGATCTTTTTGGACTTCTAGATCTAGATGTTTTTGAAACTACTGCTGGTGACCTTGATCTTTTAGATCCTGCTGAGCCTGATCTTTTAGATCCTGCTGAGCCTGATCTTTTAGATCCTGCTGAGCCTGATCTTTTAGACCCAGCTGAGCCTGATCTTTTAGACCCAGCTGAGCCTGATCTTTTAGACCCAGCTGAGCCTGACCTTTTAGACCCAGCTGAGCCTGACCTTTTAGACCCAGCTGAGCCTGATCTTTTAGACCCTGGAGTGCCTGATCTGGATCTTCTAGAGGCAATGGATTTTGATCTAGACCTTTTTGATTCTGATCCAGATCTTGATGAGGCTGCTGAGCCTGACTTATGAGACACAGCTGATGGGGATCTATTTGAAGCAGCTGATGGTGATCTTTTTGAACCTGCTGAACTGGATCTTCTAGATCTGAGTAACAAAAATGAATATGAAGTATCACTTATTCAGTTTCTATAGCATGTTTTTTATTTTCAATCATTTGTATCTTGCCATTTGAACCATGCATTTATATTTGGCTGAATAATATGTATACCTACTAATAGCCTAAGCCTGTGATATTGACAAGTCTTATATCATGTAACATGATCTAACAGGACAATAAACTATCTATCTATCTATCTGTAGCTCTATCCACATGGAAGTATTGTGAAGTATAAGTCATTTGTTTCATACTAGTGTGAAGGAGATTGGTTTTGGAGAAAGGAATGCAGTGTCCAAAGTATTGCAATAGTTACATGGCAATGGGCATTTTTTATTCAACATTTTAGTGCAACAAATATTATCAAAATAAAAATAAATAATATGTGGCATATCTTAACATATCCTAACCCAATAACTATTTATGCAGAGTATTACACTTGAAATAAAACAAAATACTAAACAAATCAAAATCAAGACATTCATGCTAAGACAACAAATGTCCAAATGCAGTAAATGCACAATGCAAATTTCTATACCCTTAGTTATTTTGGTTGGACAGCAACTCGGCAACAGCTAATGATTACAATTAATTTGTTACTTGAAAATAAAGGGCTTTAAAATCTTTTTTGAAATAAAGTTATTCAACTGTACTGTACCTATGTGAGGCTACTGGAGATCCAGAATGGTTTGAAGCTGCAGATCCTGACCTATTTGATGCAGCAGATCCAGATCGGTGAGATGCAGCTGACTTAGGAGAATGAGGTGAGCCTAGAAAGATGTTATTTGATCACAGTGAATGATTCAGTGGGGTAAACTATTCAGAAGCATAAACGACAGTCAACTATTACCAACCATCTTTACTATCAAACAAATGAAGCACCCACAAGATCCGTCTTTTTCTCAAACTTTGGCTGGCATTGCTGTTAATATGGTCCATTTTGAAATTCTCTTTTTTGGATTACATATCTGCATAGTCAATTTGGTGAACAATGGCAGTAATGCATATAGAGAGCCAATCTAGTCATCCAATTTGGATGACTAGATTGGCATTCTTGTTAAACGCAAATGTTCTGAAGATGGGCTTGAATTTCAGGCAGCACAAAGTGTACTGCCATGGTGCAACGACGATCGCAATGTTTGGACACAGCATATTTTTTTCTTCTGAAAAATTAATCGCCAGTTATATTTTAACCAGTGATTCAGTTGTTTTACCTGATCTTTGAGAAACCTGAGAGCCTGACCTCTTAGAAGGCGAATTTGACCTAGACCTGTTCGATGCTGCCGAGTCTGACCTCTGTGAGCCGTCTGGACTTCTAGATCTATTAGATGCTGCACTAGGTGATCTCGAACGACTTTTTGCATGTGCAGTTGGGGATCGTTCGGGGCTAGCCTCGCCAGATTTGTAGTTTGGCGAATTGGAAGCAGACCTGTCTAAGCCGTGTCCAGGCGTTGGGGCAGGCCCCCTGTGCGACTCTGCCTCCGAATCTGAAGACATTGAAGTTCTTTTATCACCTCACTATTTTCCAAGCGAAGTTGAATTTAAAATTTGTGAACTTGTCGCAGTAGAAATAAACATAACCTATGATCCTATTGTGTGTGGCCCATTCAATGAACTGTCAACACTGATGGAACAGGCGACAGGCGTAAGGCGAATTCATTGCGGCTAGAATGAGACACGAGAAGGATAGCGCTAGTCAGGGCAAAACATCAATCAAATTCAAGCGGATAACCAAATGGAAATGGTATTTACCATTTTGGCTTGGTATTTACCAATCCGTTCAAGCGAGTGTAGTTATCAGTTTGGTTATAAGATCCGTGACGTCACGAATCAGCTGTTATATGTCATAGTTATTACCGCAAAATTGTGGTATAGTGGATACCAAATAAAACCCGATGCACGTCATCGATCTGGAGCTGTGCGCTGTTGCCAGAATTTGCACATTTTCTTTTAAGCAAATAAATTTAATAAAATAAATTGTTTATATATACCTACCATTTACTATAATACCATTATATTAAAAATAAATAAACTTGTTGTAAAATTAAATTCCTTTCTGAATAAAAACACCTGATTTTGGTAGATATTCAATGATATGAGCTCCTTACACCGACTGTTAAGTTGTTTTGGCATTTTGGATATTTTACACCACTTCACAGTAACTGTTGCTCTGAAAAGAACAATTTTTAATTGGCAAGGCAACGACTCAAAGCTCAAATAGCGCAAAACTCACAAACTAAACAATAAAGAACTAATAGTACGACAAAAGGACAATGGCAACTGATGTCAACAAATGAGAAGTGGCAACCTCACATTTCTCTGCACGGCACTACCAACCGAATCGAGACGGGGAAATTTAAACTTCAAGTAGAAATGTCACATTGAATGTAGTCAACTGTTGGTAACCATGATTTTTATGAATGACATCACCTATGACGTGCATCGGATTTTATTTGGTATCCACTATATTTACCCAACTCGAAAGTAGTTTTATATTTCTGGTTATTATTTGAAATGTGACAAGTAAGAATATATACCACAAGAATATTAAAATATGGCCATATAAACTCACTAGATGATATCCACCTGTATACGGTTTTGCTAATTTCTTTTTTCAAAATTTAGAGAATTGAAAGTTATCATAGCTACAAAGCCATGGTTCCATCATTAAAAAAAAATCTGAAAAAAGCATTTCTTCCATGAATATTATGAAAGGTTTCTTATTTAAACTTTCCATATACAGTTGTAGACGAAAAAGCACCGATTATTAAGTGATAATAAAAATAATCAGAGATTATATACGCGCTTTTCTAAAATAAACAACTTGCAACAAAACCGCGGTTAAAACCAACGCGTTCAAGCGATTCGTGTAACACGTCATCAACCCGTGTGTCATCTTGAACCATATTATAACCGCGGCACATAACACAGAAATTTTGGTTATTCGCTTGGATTTGATTAATGTGTAAACACACTTCATTTTTTGCATTCATGGCCGACGATTAGATGTAGAAGAGCGAGGGGGGTTGCACGCTTTTTGTTGGAGACACCACGACCGAAAAGAGGGACATTTTTATGTCGCCAGGCTTTTCTCAGGAACAGTAGGACAGAGTCCGAAAGTGGGACGTATGGTCAACTTAATAGTATACTTACAAGAAAGACGTTTTTTGTACCTCCAATATACTGAGAAATGTATTGGCTTTTATGGCCTACATTGTGATACGCCTATGGTGGGAATTCCGTAGTTGACATTGTGCTGTTCCAAGCTTGGGGCCAATTTGATAAAATTAGAATGGAAGTTGGTTTTTCCCGCCACTGAGGTTCGCGAACATAACAAACGGCGGACTTATGAATGACTTGCAGGGTCTTTTTAGATAAGACGTCAATGTGTCATCCCATCGAAGTCGAAGAGGTTAGTTTTTGTTGTTGGGCGACAGATGTTTGATGTTGAGCTTACACAATGAGGCCTTTCACTTTCACCAAGAACATTTTCCCCTGTTTTTCGGATAAATTTTCTTAAGAACACTGTCGAGGGAAAATGGATAAGCCTCGACCGTGCGGGTGCAAGGGACGCAGAACCTGCATTTTATGCGAAAAGGAATACAACATTTCTCCAGAGAACGCTCATTTGAACTTGGAGAATGGTTCGTACATGTACTGCCCTTGGTGCAAGAAGGCTTGGCCTGGCTGGGATTTGAACGAGTACAAGCGTCACCCTGATCACACCGGAAACCCGTTGCATTTCCCTGGAATCTTCATTGAACTAGATTTCCTTTCAAAGACGGAAGAACTGGAACTCGCTTCTAGCCTTGATAATTTGCCATGGGACTCATCACAGAGTGGGCGCAGGAAACAAAACTTTGGGCCAAAATGTAATTTTAAAAAACGAAAACTAAGACTGGGTGATTTCAAGGGTTTTCCAGAAACAACAAAGTTTGTCCAAGAAAAATTTGAAAAAATTCCCATCATGAAAGGATTTCAAACAATAGAACAGTGTTCCTTAGAGTATACTCCTGAAAGAGGTGCCTCAATAGATCCACATATTGATGACTGTTGGATTTGGGGTGAAAGAATAGTGACTGTTAACTTACTTTCAGATTCTGTACTCACAATGAGTTACAATGATAAACCTACAAGGTATAATCTAGATTGTGTAGAAACTTATCCTGCTGTACTTGATGGACATGGTGAACTTAGTGATAGTAATGAGCCATTTAAAGTAAGACCATTGAATGGTCAAATTTCATTTCCAATAGTAAGGATTCCAATGCCTTGTAGATCACTACTAGTTATGTATGGGTCAGCTAGGTATAATTGGGAGCATCGTATCTTGAGGGAAGATGTTAAAATAAGGAGAGTTTGTTTGGCTTATAGGGAATTTACACCACCATATTTGAAAGATGATAAATCTAAACATGTTTTGTTGGAAGCTAAAAACTTTTGGTAATAATATCAAATTTAAGATCATTAAAAAAATATAATACTAGTATAAAGTGAAAAATGAAGATTTCATTCTGAAATACTTAATTTTTTTGTTGCATATAATAGGACCTATGTCAAATAGTATAAGAAAGTTCTCACATTATGAATTTATTTTTATTTCATATCTCAAAGTTCAAGAAGATACATTTAACATGTTCACTATGAGGGATTAACAGGTCATAGTTTTCTATTTTTGATAGTTCCAAGGTATCTGTATAATATATCATATTAGATATACCATCATGAAAACATTAACACATATTTTTTTTATGGAGTTTTTGCAATCAATTGTTTATATTATCCAAGCTAAGTGTCTTGGATCTATTTGCTACCATTTTTCGTTTACACTCTGATGGTCATATTATTTAACTGACACAAATATTCCAATGATGCCATGTCAGTCATAAGGACTGACATTAAATAGCTATATCCAACTTCTTATTTAGCACGAGTTGTGAGTTTTGCATTAATTATATCAGGTTTGCATGCAAATTAAGTGAAATATTTGTATTGTTGAGTTTTGTAGGCAAGCATTCAATGTGTTAAGTTGAAAGAAAATAAAAACGGTATTCTGAAATACAGAAATAAAAGTTGAATGAAAACATTTATTCTCATTTTATTCAATATGTAATATCAAGTAAAAATAATTTATATAAGATCCTAAATGCTTAATCTTCATATACCCAGCAGTCATTGGCAGGTGACCATCCAACAACTTCCTTCTCTGTGAACCACAGACCAATTTCCTTCTTTGCAGACTCCACAGAGTCGGATCCATGGCAAATGTTGCGACCCATCTGGATGCAAAGATCTCCTCTTATTGTACCTGGGGCACTGTCAGCAGGGTTTGTAGCACCTAGCATCACTCTTCCAGTTTTAACAACATTCAGGCCCTCCCATACCATAGGAACAACTGGGCCTGAGGCCATGTATTTAACTAAGGCTGGGAAGAATGGCTTATCTGACAAGTCAGCATAGTGCTTCTTCAGAAGGTCTTCAGTGGGCTGTAGAAAGAAAGATTATTTGTATTAGCATGGAATAATTTTTATATGGTTACTTCAATTTTTTTCATAGAAACGTGTCAAAAAGCCAAGCAACCAACAGGAGATTTATTTAGAGGTACAGCAAATATGAAAACCAGTTTGTCAGGTCAACTTTAATACTGAAGAAAAGAACAACTCTTGACATTCAGTTTCTAAACATCATTTCTTTCATGATGAATATCTAACGTTCCCCAATCATGTCACAAAAGTCGTTCAGAACTCTTATGCAAAAGTTAAAACACTTTACAGTTATAAAGCTAGTCTCTCTCTTCATTTAATGACACTAGTCCAGTCCACGCTATGCTGATGACAAAAACAAAACTATTCCTTAATAGTAAGCTTAGTTTGAGGTGTGAACAGCATTGTGTTAACTTACAATTTGTGGGTTACACTCTGAACTTACCATATCATAAAACTGCCCAATTTAGGAAGTCATTTTCTTATATAACCCAATTTATACAATAGATTTCCATCAAGTGTGAGGACACTTTCCAAATTTAGTTTTGCAAAGAAAGTCAAGCAATTCGTTTTTGATAACATTGTTTCAATTTTTGAATAATTTTTGTCTTTGTTCTATCCGGCTGTTAATATGTATCTTGTATTCACATATTCCTCTTTTTTGTACCAAGCTTTCTTTCATTGTATTCAGTGAGTGCCTTGTTTCTGTGTGTTTGCGACATTTTCTTTTAAATCTGATTTTTAAATTGTTTTTCAAGAACATTTTTTCTTGTGTAGTCCTGCTTGGTGGCGAGGACAGCTTTATAGCTAATAGCCACCAGGTAAAATAAAGGCCTATTATTATTATATGTTGGCTGTTACTGTACTATGGTCATTATTGTACATTCTGGAATTCTGATTTGTCATGACACATATGAACATTTCAAGTGGTATTCTGAACTTTTTCCTTTGGGGAACATGCATAAGAGAAAGAGCCTTCCACAACGATTTGACAATTCTATTTATGCCACCATGTAGAAGAGAAAAAGTAGATCTGTAATTTGTTTGAAATTTCTAGACCTTGTTTTGTTATGGACTAGAGCCAGGTAAAACTAAAAATTACATAAGAGTAAATTTGGAAATACTTCACAAACTGTCAAAGTTCCATTTATCATGAGATGTGAAATTTATTGACCATGTAGTGTAGCCTGGATCTGTCATTATTGATGCATAATTTTATGCCGAAATCCTCTGATGGTATGGACCACAGTAAATACTGATCATGTGACATTCAGTTGTGGAGAACCCTATACATGAAGAATTTAATTTTTGTAAAAAATGTTGGTTTAATTTTTGCCGAGTTAGGGAAAATGGGGGGAGCAGCTGCCCACCCCTGTCCCCCTGCGATAAACCCTTGAAGTATTTCTAAATGAAGCACCCATTAAGAAGTATCTGACTAAAACCTCAGCACCCATTTTTACTCTCTTTTCCCTACATGTGCTTATGCCAATATATTCCGTAAAAAATGGTAAATTATAAAATAATCACCAGTAGCCGTGAGATATTCGGAATGGAAGCACAAGACTGATTCCCTTTATTTTTTAAATCCATGAAAAATGCATGTGAAATAGTACCAGTGACATAGGTACCTGTATTGATTAACTTGAAAAAGAAAAGGAAAATCGTAGATTTGTCTGTGTAATAAATAATGTTTGGCATACGTAGACGTGAATGTTCCAATGCATAAGACATGATTTCTTCATTATCGTGAAAAAAAGGCTATATCATTACCCATTAACAACATTGAAATTGTAATTATACAAAGCCCAAATTATGTTTGCAAGGGTCACATGCCGGCAGTTTAAAAAATGAAGAGTAAGGTTAAACAAAAGGAATAATGTGAAACAAATGGCGTCGATGAAGTGCCACGCCGGCTTTTTCAACCAATACAAATGTAAATACTAACCCAAACGAACTTCAGTGCGACGAGTTTAAACCCTTTCTGTTCGAATCTTTTGATGATCTCTCCAACGAGGCCCCTTTGGACACCGTCAGGTTTGATCATGATGAAACTTCTTTCTCGTGTGGCTGCCATGGCGCTTGAAAACAAAGAGAAAATTGACAAGACTGTAGCGATCATACAATCACTGTCAAAGGCAGTGTGCCAGTGTGGAAGTGGAAGAAATATTTTAGAAAAAAAGACTTGATCCTTGATCCGTCTTGCTTAGATCGTGGATGTGGTACGTGCTTCGTGGAAAGGCAATTCAAAACGAACAAACATTGCCTGTGCAGAAATGGAACTAAGATGTAATACAGTAGCGGCGCACAAGGCGAAACCGGTAATGCAGTGTTACTCGTTACTGAACGTAAAAGAGTGTTCCCGTCATGAATGTGAAACGGGCAAAGAAACTATCGTAAATTAAATTCGTGAAAATGTCCCCTCCTCTTATACCAGTTTTACTTTGACGATAAAGCCACGGATTTCTTCATGAATTGAGTTCATGGGCAAATTTTAAAAATGTAAAATAGGAATTTTACGCTAAATTAAATCCATGAAGTTCTTTCTGCGTTAGAATTTCTAATTTTTGCCAAACTGGAACATCAAATTCCATGTTCATGCAAACCTTGTTTTACTATCCATTATATTGTAATGCAGTGTCTATTTATAATATTCACCTCAGGGACCGTTCAAGTATTACGTGAGCACTATGGGGGGACGGGGGGGTCTTTGCTTTGCTTATTTTGGATGACATGGGGGGTAGGGGAGTATAGATTATAATTACGTCATCGGTAGTTATTTACTTTTTTTACACGAATGGCAACCCTCACATTGTCTTTGCTTGAAAACGAAACGCATTTTCGGGGATTCCCGCAAATAATGCATACGTTTAGTGAACAGCGCGCGGTAATTCCCCTACTCGATTTAGAACCGAGTAGGGGAATTACCGCGCGGTGTTCACTTGTCTAAATTTCCCCTATCGGTGTATTGTTTCGTTTGGATACTATAGCGAGTAGACGTATTGTAAGCATAGTAAAGCAAGTTAGCATTTGTGTTACCATTGATTCCATTAGCCAAAGTTTAATGTTTAAATAAGATGTCGTTTCACATAGACAAGTCCAAGTTATACCAAAAATTGATTGAAAGTTTTAAAAAATCTCATACAAGTACGAAAGTACAAAATGTACAAAAGTTAGTTAACGAAGTGTGGCGAAATTACAAATTAGCAAAATCCGACAAGGAACTAGATATTATTGTATCTAAGAGAATCGAAGAAGAATTGCAAGCGGCGACTAAGAATAAATCCAATCTGCTAATTTTTTTTTCTAAGGTGAGTGACGAAATCATTTTAGGTACCTATGAGTACTAGAAATATTAGAAATCGCCAAAAAGTTTCTCTTTACTGGTTAGAAAATATTATGGCCTATCTCAAAGTATAGAGGTAATATTCATTATATTATAGATATATTTCTTATGATTGATTCCGCCAATTGGTCACAAAGTACGGGATGTTAGTTTTATACATATATACAGAAAACTAACACCCTGTATTTTGTGACTGGAACGAATTACTCGTTTAAACATATTAGATTTAAAGCCATAGGGTTTTGTATTTACCATATATATTGCCATACTGTGTATTTATGTAGCTTAATAAAAGAATCTTTAGCAGAAGCCATATAAAGTTTTTATTTTTAGGCAACCTGTAAACCTGCTGAAGAAACACAAATTATACGGTCAGCTTCAAATATTAGAAAAGAGGAAGAAGATAAAATAAAACCCGGTAATGAATCACAACAGCAATGCGAAATTAATGAAAATACAGATAAACAGAGAGCAAAACCTTCTCAGGAAGCTATGAAAAATAAGATTGCTCTACTCGAAAAAAATCTGAATGCTTTGTATTCTGCCAGAGATTCTATGCCAAGCCGTGCTGAAGTTGAGAAACAGATCATTAGTTGCGCGAGGAAATAAAAACAGCAAAACAGTCTTTAAACAGGAAGTTTGAAATTTCATTTGCCCAGAAGAAACACAGGGATGGTATGAAAAGAAAGTTAGAAGATATTTGTCATGAAAATCCAGAAATAAAAAAAAGACTATCTCTGAGGGATTCAAGTGGGACGTCCTAATCTTCAAAGCAATCAACATTCACTATTGAAAACAATCGCGGATATAGCCTTATTTGGGAGTGCAGCAGATGATAGAAAACGAACGGAATCAATTCGCAGCGTAAAAACTCTTGATGAACCCACACAAGAATTACGTAAAATAGGATTTGACATTAGTCGCAGTGGGACATATCTTCGTTTGATTCCCAGAAAATCTAATTCTGCAGAGGGACGAAGACATGTATCGACAGTCCCTGTTAAGCTCATTTGGGCTCAAACTGATCACCACAAGAGCCACTTAGATAGCAAGTTCGCTGAAACATCAATCCATTATTTGGAGAACATAGCATCCATACTTGGACCAGATCAAGTATTTTTCATATCTTAAGATGATAAAGCTCGACTCCCTATTGGCGTAACTGCGGCAAATAAGCAATCACCTCTTTTAATGCACATGGAATATAGAATCAAATTGCTTGATCACGATTGGGTAATCGCTGAGCGTCATAAATTAATATCATCTGTTTATGCTGGTATTAGACATCGGTTGGCCGGGTGGGTCAGAGTGTCGTGCTACTGATCAGCCGGCCGGCCGGGCCGCGAGTTCGAATCTCGCCTTCGGAAATCACATTTCGAAGCCATGGATGTTGTGACGTCGTGTGTTTGTCGAAAAATTATAGATATACGTATATACAAGATTGGATCTGGCTAATGGGACGCAATGTCCTAGTGCCAAAAAAAATGCTGGTGTCAAAATCACTTCCAATATGCTAGGACAACCGCAAGCCGTTGGATATTCTGGACCAACATACATCGCTATTCGAAGTGGAAAACATAGTTCATATACCGCTAATACCCATGCTCAGGATTTCTAGACGCTTCTCGAACTTGAAGAGTTTCGACCATTACCTAAAACTGATCATGGACTAGTAAAACCAGTGGTAGTCATGACGGTTGATGGAGAGCCAGATGAAAATCCACGTTATCAAAAAGTTCATAGGGTTTGCTATACAACACTTTAAGCGACATGATCTCGATGCATTGTTTTTAGCTACCAATGCTCCTGGAAGAAGTGCGTATAACAGAGTAGAGCGCAGAATGGCTCCTGTTAGTCGGGAACTGGCTGGTTTAATATCCATAAAAAAGTAAACACGCACGCTGATAGGAAAGGTAGACCTGTAAGAGTCGCTGCTCGTCGTGCTAATGAACTGATGTGCATTATTCAAAATTTAGAGCACCATGATGTTAAATGGCTCGATGCTCGATGACATCGACGTAGACATTACTAAATCCGATGAAAGCGAGCAAACTCACAACACTGAGCAGCAATCGAAGCAATCCAATGTCATCGAAAACTTAGAATCATGGATTCGGGTTTCATGGACTGAAGACTTAATTTGAATTTAATATATGTACCAAAAATGTAAAGTAAGTTTGTTATGTTAGTAAGATATAATATTTTTCTTTTTTTTCAAATTATAATTATAACTCAAAATGTTTCTACGAAGAATTTGTTGTGTGGTTGGCGGCATTGTTGACTGATAGATAATACATAAATTTGTCCACCGCAAAACATAATCAGGATGACCTTGAAGAAATCCATCTGAATAAATTCGTGAAGAAATTGTTGATGTAAAACGGATATTAAACGTTCATATCTGCATTGTTTCTAATAAAATGGTAGAGTAAATTCTGGGCCTATCTTGGTACTAAAATTACCTAACTAAACCTGGACTTGAATGGTGGAGACATCTGCTCCCTCTAGACGCACTTACTTTCCGCTCGTCAATTGTTACGAAGGCATTAACAGAATCGCCCAGTTTTAAAATCCCCTAAATACATTTTGCAAGCAAATTGAGTTAGCGGTGCTATCTGATCGCAAAAAGTCTAAGTGCCGTATCGTCAGTCGTCTCTACACTTGTAGGACACTTTTATCGCGATCTTTCTCTCATTCGGAAGGCCTGGGGTATTTCTGGATTTCTACTGTAAAAGCGTCAGCGCTATCCTATTGTGCAGTTATGTTTTCTTTTTGAACGGTATTGAATTTCAGGCTATTAAAACAGATGATATGACTCAAAAGCTTGAACAATTTGATGCAAATAGATATTTGTCACATAACCTCAAAATGATGCGCTGACCCGGAACCCTAGAAAATGTAGGATTTTCATGGTATTTTCTTCTTTCTGAAGGATAGGAAAAACTATGAAAATCAAGCAGGCCGAAAGGGCGTCCTACAATAATCATCGCAGAAAGGACTGTCTTTTCAACCGGTTGAGGAATAATACTTTGCTTCCCTGGCTTTGTTTGGTATCTGGGCAACCAGACCTGACAGACCTACTGACTTATAAGACTTCAACCAAGAGCAAAGGTCCTACGGACCGCTCTGACAGACAATGACGAATAGTAGTAATACTTTACTGCAATGCAATCTGGCAAAAAGTTTCCGAAAAGGAAAATCGTATGTATTACCAAGATATTGTCACCATCAGATTCTAAAACGTAGAGTAAGATGATGACAGCGATGGTGGAGAAAATAAATGGGAAGAACTATGGGATAAGTGACGTTCATGAAGCTAATATCGTTTAATGTTTTTTTTAAGAATTATGATAGATACCTACGAATTTCTGCATATAAAAACCTTAATTTGCTTATTTAGCATTTCCTGAAAAAAAACGTACTAAAGTGGATTTAAAGGTGCTTGGAATTAGGCAACTCAACTATCAGAGTGCTGCCCAACTTTTCTAGACATGAATCCGAAGATCACCATTGCCACCATTAAGGCATTTTTATCATTTCTCGTATCTGGAAAGCCATGGAAAGGTTGACGACGCCACCGCTCATTACGTTTTACAGTGCGTTCATATTGACACAACTCTCGAAGTTCTAAGACTTCCTGTTCCTGCTGGATAATCCATTTAAAAATTATTACTACCTAACATTTTCTCAGTCTATTTGGTAATACTATAATCTTTATGAAAATTATAGATTTTTCATTTTACAATTAGGAATATGAAATTGCGCAGTTGAACGAGTAGTGACAACCAACGCCAATGCCGGAAACTCCCTCTAAGTTAATCTTTAGCGCAGTATCTAACAAGTATTTTAATAATGTCAATTATAGGCACATATATAAGCTTTTAGGTGCAACAAAAATAAACTGTAGCATTAACAAAAATAAACTGTATCATTTTTTCTCTTTTATACTTGAACCACCACGAAGGCCTAAGGCCTAAACACCCATGGGTACCGTGGCGCTATAGGGGGATACAGGGAAAGGGGGGGACACCACACGGACTCTAGAGAGGAAACACGTGTGCATGCAATATGCACACATTCTGGTCGCGCCTTAGAGATCCGCCAGGTAGTACCCCCGCGATTGACAGCCTGAGACTCTCTACCACCTGCGACAAGCGCAACATTCTTTGATTCCATAGCCTGTATGTATCCAATAACGAATTCTTCATTCCTGAAATATACTTTGAAAAGGGTAGTCTGGTCTGATTCCGCTACTATCTCATAGATGGCGCAAGGATCTTCAATTCCTTTTTGGCCACCTGAAGATACTCAATTAAAATAGGGATTATAATTCATTTCGTTATTATAACAATTTTAAAAATTTCGACAAGGCTTTTGTCGGTGCTCTTGCTTACCCGTGGCCATGTCCATCACACCCACACTGATTTGGCGTTTCTCCCATCATTAGAAAATCTTTCTGCGATTACTGTTTTTCTCTCTAAATTCACAAGTCTAATTGACAATGACAGAAACGATACCTATCAGTATGGCAGTAACGTGAAACATGTGGCATGCATCAAACAGGACCGAACTTGCTTAAAATTTAACACCCGCCCACGGAGATTCAACTAATCATCGCTGGAATATAGGTTTTTCTGTAGAGCGCCAACCTTGCCAATTTTCGTCTGCTCTTGCTCAACGTGAATAGAGAAAAGTCTGCAAAGGTTGTAAGTCGAATTGTATTTGAGCCACCTGGTAGAACACACACAGGACGGCAAGCAGCAGCTGCAATCTGAAGGCCACTCGAATTGATTTGATTAGGGTGATGGCGTCACAACTCAGTAGTGGGGAGGAGTGAATCGAAAAATGATGCTGGGTGCATATAACAACCAATCCATTTATTTCTTGTTTTTTTTTTCTAAATAAAATACTTTGTTTGTATATTTAAGGCTTATTAATGGCTATAAAGTATCTGGTATATTTTTCAACGCTTGAATATTCAGGAATCTCTCTGTTTTGATCGATAGTGTTGAAAAAGACGCTTGTAAAAATTTAATTTATCGGTTATATTTAGTGCTAAGATTTCTATTTGATGAAATGCAGGGCCAACAAGCCTCAGCTAACGCTCAGAACCAGATAAACGCAAACCTTTCGTTAGGAAGCCCGGTGATATTGAAAATGAACGACACAAACACCATGTCTTCTGTAGGTGAGTACACTTTTCCGGACATGGCTTTTACCATTGACGTCTTACCCAATGTTCATTGTCAACTGCTTATTATATGTATTAGAACTTGTGCTGATGTGATATCCCATATTTACAATTGTTAGGTATATTTTTTGTTCACACATTTCCTATTAAGAATGACAAGAAAATTTGATTTTGCATTGATTGATCTCCATATAAAATATTTTGTAAACCATCAAATAAACAAGTAGGTATCTACTGTGTTTTATTTCTTCTATATTGGGGTCTTGTACCTACCACAAAAGGTACACATTTTGCTATTTTTGTTTACAATCATAAAATGAAAGCACAATGTGTAAACACACTTCATTTTTTGCATTCATGGCCGATGATTAGATATAGAAGATCGGGGGGAGAGGATGGGGGTTGCATGCTTTTTGTTGGAGACACCACGACCGAAAAGAGGGACATTTTTATGTCGCCAGGCTTTTGTCAGGAACAGTAGGACAGAGTCCGAAATTGGGACGTACGGTCAACTTAATAGTATACCTACAAGAAAGACGTTTTATGTACCTCCAATATACTGAGAAATGTATTGGCTTTTATAGCCCTTCATGGCCTACATTGTGATACGCCTATGGGGGGAATTCCGTAGTTGACGTTGTGCTGTTTCAAGCCTGGGGCCAATTTGATAAAATTAGAATGAAAGTTGTTTTTTCCCGCCACTGAGGTTCGCGAACATAACAAACGGCTGACTTATGAATGACTTGCGGGATCTATATGGGTAAGACGTCAATTGTGTGGTCCTATCCAGCCATATGTCAAGTTGACAGCATTACCACCCCATTCCAAACACTTAAATCAAATCCAAGCGGATAACCAAAATTTCCGTATTACGTACCGCGGTTATAATATGGTTCAAGATGACACACGGGATGGTGACGTCAGTTACTCGAATCGCTTGAACGCGTTGGTTTTAACCGCGGTTTGTTGCAAGTTGTTTATTTTAGAAAAACCCGTATATAATTTCTGATTATTTTTATTATCACTTAATAATCGGTGCTTTTTCGTCTACAACGGGGTATGGAAAGTTGAAAAAAGGAAACTTTCATAATATTAATGGGAGGAATGTTTTTTGTAGCTATGATAACTTTCAATTCTCTAAACTTTTCCGCATGTCAAAGAAAATATTTATTGATTTAGCAGAAATGATGAAAAAGCGATGAAAAAAAGATATTACAAAACCGTATACAGGTGGACATCATCCAGTGAGTTTATACGGCCATATTTTAATATTCTTGTGGTATATGGCTATACAGGATACTTTTTTAAGTGTAGGAACTAGATTTAAAGTGTCCCCAACAACAGTGATGATTATAAATAATAAGGTGCTCTCTTATGCTAAAACTGAAGTCAGCCTGTATCAAGTTTCCCAAAAATGAAGCTGAAGTACAATAAAAATATCCAATACCCGGCAAAATTCTAACTTGTCACATGTCAAATAATAACCAGAAATATAAAACTACTCCGGAGTTGGGTAAATACCACAATTTTGCGGTGATAACTATGACATATAACAGCTGATTCGTGACGTCACGGATCTTATAACCAAACTGATAACCACACTCGCTTGAACGGATCGGTAAATACCAATCCAAAATGGTAAATACCATTTCAATTTGGTTATCCGCTTGAATTTGATTTTAGCTAGAAAGAAGCAGTTTTCATAAGTGAATATGTTTGGTGGTGTCCATGCCATCTTAGATGGGTGGGGCAAACTTAGGTTATATCCTTTTTACACGACCCAGTTACCCGTTAACCACGCCCCTTTTCCAAATCTACCACAGATGGATATAAGCAACTGAAGTTCCGAAACAGTTCGAAATAAGTATCCTGGTCTACCATATTCGTCCCTCGATTTTAGTATCCCATAATTTTAAAATTTGTAACACCTAAGCAGTTCTATTTACTCTAATCCTGACTGTTGTTTTCCAGTCGCAGCATAGTTGAACAGTTATCGGCCTGAAGTTGTCACTCTATGGAAACAGTTGCCTGTTTCATGTGACGTTTGACACCCACACATTTTTGTGCCACACATGAATTAAAAATATAAGGCACCCCGTAACATGTGTTGCCTAACGTATACGCCTGTCGCATGTGCAAATGGAACTAATAATTGTAAAATATTCTAAATTTCGGTGAACAGGTATATAATTAATGTAGAAATATAGATAACATTTCCAAGGTTCCCCAATAATATAAAAATAAACCATCCTGAAATTTACCGAATTCTTTGACATTTGTATTGGCTGATTTTCAAACATGGACTTGGACTCTGATGAGGAAAATGTAGTAGAAGAGGATTTTTATGCATTCTTAAACGTTCCTAAAGAGGTATGTATACATATACTGTGATAACTAAGCGCTTAAAACACTGTTTCTGTATTTACAAAGATGCAAGAAATCCTAACCTAAGATTTGACTATTTTCAGGCATCTAAAGAAGAAATTAACAATGCATACAGGCGCCTCAGTAGAATGTACCATCCAGACAAACACGTTGATCCTGCGCTCAAAGAAAAGGCTGAAATCATGTTCAACAAAACAAAAAGGGCTTACGAAGGTAACATAGTAAATAACGTAACTTTCAATGTTTATAAACCTGATAAATGCTTGTAGTTCTTTCTGATCCGCACAGGAGAGCCATATATGACTCATTAGGAACAAAAGGCTTAGAAACAGAAGGATGGGAAATAGTGCAAAGGACCAAAACACCTGCAGAAATTAGGGCAGAATATGAACAGCTAGCCGAAGAAAGGGCAGAGAGAAAGAAAAAGCAAGCTACAAACCCTAGTGGAAATATCACTATTGCCATCAATGCTACTGACTTGTTCAATCCCTATGATGATGTATACTATGATGATGAATTTGAAGAGTAAGCACCAAGTTTTTAATTTTCAAATCGTCAAGGAGTAAAAATAATGACATCATTTATTGCCCAACAGATTAAATAAATGTACATACCAAAATGTTAATTCTCAGTATGTTGTGAGATTTTATTATAGTTTGTAAGCATTATTCATAAGGGTGACTTGAAAAGTAGTATGGTGTCTGGAATTGAAATGTGACACATTCAATCTAATTAAAGATAGAAGGTCTAAACAAGATTTCACTGTACAAAAGTGTGTATAAAAATATTACCAAAGTCTATGCATCTGAACTCCAAACTGTCCATGTTATAAAGATTTACTAGAAGTTGATATTGCATATGTTGTTCTGGGTAAATACGAGGGTGAATCAAATATGCACTGGACTTTTCTGCTTAACGGGCCATAGGTGAATCGAGTGAGACGACATCTTGGTATATGTTAGGGTAGCAGATGAGCTGTTATTAGCATCATGTGTGAGCAAGAGTTGCACACATCTGTTGCGCAACGCATTATCATAAAATTTTTGACGTGGGAGGGTGTAAACCCTTCCGAAATTATGCATCGATTAATAGCACAGTTCAGCTATAAGATAGTTTCAAGGACACAGGTATACGATTGGCAATTTTTTTTTCCATGGAGTGGCGAAAGCCTGAAGACGCAGCACCACAAAAAGCCAAGACCAGTCTTACTGCACGAAAATTTCTTGCAACTGTATTTTGCAATTCCAGAGGTGTACTGCTAGTTGATTTTCTTCACAATCGCCATACAGTTAATGTTGCTGTTAATGCTTACTAGTGTCAATTGCTTAAAGAAGTGAAATTGGCCTATCGGCGAAAAAGGCGAGACATGCCTATTTGAAGTGCCATTCTGCCCCATGACAAAGATCAGCCACACACAGCTGCATTCACCCAATAAAAATTATGCGAAATTCATTGGGAGATACTTAAACACCCATCTTACAGTCCCGATTTGTCACCATGTGACTGTCACATGTTTGGTCCACTTAAAGAAGACCTGGGAGGTCACCTCTTTGACGACGACGAAAGTGTGGAAATGTTCGTACACAATTGGCTACTGACATGACCAGCTACATTCTTTGATGGGAAAATTAAAAAACATGATCGCATAGGAAAAATGCATCAATAAGAGAGGAGATTATGTAGAAAAATAAAATGTAAATAAACTTATATTTACTATACCAATAAAATTACTAAAACAAAAGTTGGTTCATATTTGATTCACCCTTGTATGATGTTTTTTAAATGCCAGATGTTTCAAAAACTTTCTTTGAACTCACTTTGGTCTTTCTTTATGATACAGATAATATGAATTCTAAATGTTGAAAAAGTACTTCAGTTTTGTACACATATAACTTTGAAATAAGGTGTTTAAAGTTGTTTCATTGTTGAATGTTTGACAGCTTCTTACAATAAAGCCATACACTTTGTAAGATTCTGCAATTTTAGTATCAATATGAAGTTGATCGGCAAATAAAACTACGTGCCTAAACCTTTTATGGATGAGCAACATTACAAAGGTGTGTTATCCATTCTGTAGTTGAACACTAAAGGTGCTTTTTTCCTAGAAAAAGTAACAGTTTTATATTTTGCTATGTTTAGTGCCAACTTATTGTTAACATAATATTCATGAATACTGTTGAGTGTTCTTTGAAGATAAATACATCATCTGTGGTGATTACTTTGGAAATGGAAAATATTTTCATACTATCCGCAAAAAATTCTTGATTAGTTCAGAGGAGAAAGATAGCTGTGACCAATTTTCATAGATGACTCTATGGTATTTCATTTCAGATAATTTTTCAGACACGCAAATATAGTATTAGGTTGGCTATCTTTGGGTAGAATACATTCATCAATAATTAAATACTTCATCAGCATAATGAAAAAGAATATTTAGTCAAATATGGTAACTTATCTTTCGCAAGTATCAAACCTAATTTTGTGGAACTATATGGAACAGCAGTTATTGTTTTGTCCTGAATGGAAGTAAAAGGTAATATCATGTTTTTCTTAAATTATTTATTCCAGTGATATAATATCAAGTATACCAAATATAGAGGTGTCTTCAATGCAATTCTCACAATCTGTGGATTTTCCATTAACCCAAAAAGATACGTGTACCCTCTCAGGTCAGTTGCAGACTCAAAATGGTACAGGAGCTGGTGGTATAAATTTAAGTTGGAGACACATATTTTCCCATAAAAGCTGGGCAGAAGTAGAAATGTGTGCAGGTAATAAATATGCTCAAAATTAACCAATACAGTTGAATAGAATGTATTAACGAGCGAAGGAAGGATACTAGAATTTTATAAATATCAATCTCTGAAGGGTTTTTTTGGTGATTGTAATGACTACATGGACACATTTTAGTACCTTTATTGTCTCTTGTTACTAAAGCATTTTCTTATTTAATATACTGTATCAGTATAAACTTTTATCAGCTTTTACATAGTCACTGAAGGACTTGACATTTTAACGATTATTGCATTAGTAACTAGATATGTTTTTAAGGTAGTGGTCCAGGCATATCTTTCAAAGGATTCAGGACTCTTTCTAAAAGATTTTTCTGGAATGGTGGTACAATACTGCAGTTTACCCCTGAAGGAATAAGACCAGGAGTAATGTCAAGTGTGTATTTCAAATAAAGTTGGTGAAATCATTTGTTTAAATATTGTTTTTTAGCCTTAGCAATGCAAATAGATAAATATTCTGTAGGATACCTATCTTATCAAGGAGGAATAAGGCAGATATTTTCCACTCAAGTCATTAGAGAAACAGGTAAGTCATTTGAAAACAATATTTTCAGAAAAGATGCAGCAATATCATTATACTCCCTGAATTTCTGTTCAAACTTTAATATGAGAGATAATGTGCCACTTCATTCAGATACAATTCTAAATATTTTTTACATGGTTTAGGGCTAAAAGTTGTACTTTTCTACTAATTGCAAGTGACAGTGCCCTACAAGCAGACTTTCAGTGTGTCAAGCTGATGAAAAAAAAAAACTAGTAGCAACTTTCTTTCAGAGGAGATATCTGGAAGTTATGACTGCTTGGGATGCAACAATCTGGTACAGTTTAATGCCTCCAAACACAGCATTGTGTAAGCCTGGCTTACAAGAAACGCCCTAGCTCTCATCCATTTTTGATGGATAGTGGAGTTCTGCCAGAGAGCTATTCCTTTCAGATGGCCAAAGTCCAGATCAATGAGGACTTGATTTGGTATGAACACATTCTCGTCAATCCCACCAGCTTCTGGGTAAAATTTATTTGTTCAGGGCTAAGATATACTTTTCTCCATATAAGACCTAGTCTCTAGTACTGCTCACATGTTTGAGGTGCTGCGGCCTGGGTACATTGTGGTATGTGTAAAGGCACAAATACAAAGTAGAAATGTTTGTTATAAAAATACAGTGAAATACTTAAATAATTATCTTATCTTACCTCAAATACTTATCTAAAATACCATAACACTAATTCAAAAAATCAAGAAATGAAGTATTGGATGTTGAACAATCCAGGAACATCTAGTTAAATTGTTCCAAGTCGGATTCCCAAGGTGTCTTTAAGCTTCTCATAGCAGCTGTGATGCCCTGGTGTTTAGTTTTCTGCCTCATGGCTGATCAGTAAAAAAGAAGCCAAATACTAGGTTCAGCAAAACCTTCCAAATAAGAGTTGCACTAATTTTGTAAACTGGTGCACATTTGAAGGAAAATGCGCTAATAGTTAATTTTACTTTACTAATTGACTAGATAATGAGAATTTTTTTCTTTCAGAAAAGAATAGATATAATTTTTCAATACAAGTTGGCCTGCCTCATTCATATGTTCTGATGCAGTATACAAGAAAATTAATCTCACAAGAGTTAAAACTAAGAATTGCTCTGAAGTAAGTCTGCTTATTAGGCTTTGAATAATTAAGTTCCTAACAGTGTTTTTTTATAGAGCTGGTACTTTTGGAGGTGTAATAGAGTATGGAGCAGAAAAGAAAATTTCAAAATTTAGTAATTTAGCGTTTTCAGTAGTGTGTGGAGTACCTGCAGGAGTAAAATTGAAAATCAGGTAAGCTTTCAACATAATCTCAACCATTCGATCAATTTTCTGTTTTGTCCTTGGCTGACTAGTAACCTTTCTTCAAATTTTTATCAAAATCTGAGTGGTGCTTCTGTAGTTATGAAAGGGCCAAGGATTACTGGCAGACCAATGGATATGAGTGACATGGTTTTAATCCGACTGCCTCATAAGGAGGATTAAAAATAAGTAGGGGAGACTGGGGATGTTTGTGACATAATTATTTCAAAGTGTCATATTTGTATGTCTTTGATTAGTTTACCTGACTGTAGGTTTGTTTGATGAAGTAACTATTCAGAATATAGATCTAAAATAAATTTTATGAAAAAGAGTAATAAAAATGACATTATTGGAACAAATCTAAGAAAAGAGATGTGTAACTTTTAACCCCACCCACGGATTTAGAAGTTACACTACACGGGGTAAAATGTTACAATAAAAATCAAACTCCTTTTTATTAGGAATAAGTAACTTATTCACTTTCTTTTCTTGATGTAAATGACATTTAATTATGTCTCAAGTCAGTCTTTGGCCTCATCAAAACAAAATAATAGTATATTTCTACCTTGAAACGAAATCACAACTAGTCTAACAAAGTCGTATCATATTTTTAGACTTGCAGCTCATAAAACCAATAATTTCCGACCTGCATTAATAAGATTATAAACCTTTTATTAAATAATCACTTGGTATGCGTTAACAATACGTATATAAAGCCTCATTATCAAAAATAAACTATGCTCTTTGAAAAAAAATCAGATAAGAAAAACAAAGCTGTAGTCTGAACAATCACTTTCACAATTCAAACAAACTTATTGGGCAATATTTCCTTTTACGCATTTCACATGTGACCAATTCTTACAAAGTACACACTGTACCCACTCTACTGCAGCTTTCTTCGGATCAAAAGGGTCACAACATATCAGACAAAATATCCATCATCTCCACTTTCTTCGTCAGTGTTATATAATAACTTCCTCTTTACAGAAATCTTCCCTGTTTGTTTGTTTTACTTTTCTTAAGGTATTTTCTTGTTCATTATTCTTTCTTGTGCTTGACTTTGCCTTTCCTCCCTGCCTTAATTTTCCTTTCTTCAATTTATTTTCCTTGTTCTTGCTCTGCTCCAGTTACAAAGTTTTTTCCGGTGTGTCAGTTAATAAAGCTGATTTGCGAGTTTTTCGTGTTATTTTGGTTGTTCTCGCTGCAGCTTTTGGATAAGGCCGAATAATCTCAGGAGAAAAAGTATTTCATTGTGCGTCATGTTGACGACATCATAAAATTGAAGTTAGAAATAGAATAACATGTAGGACACAGTTATAAAGTGAGTGTTGGGCATAGGAAGTTACCAATGATTAAAGTTGTAGGCTTCAGTGAGGAATTCGTTAAAGATAAGCTGAGTAGAGACTTGAAAGAAAGAAACAATATTATAAGCAGTGATTCGATGATAAATGTAGTGGCAATTAGAAATATGAAATTCAGATATCAGGCAATTCTGAAATTAGATGAGCAAACATTTAAAATAATTATGAAAGAAGGGTTACTGTTGGTATCAATGGATGTGTGTACAGTGTTCGAGCAATATGATCTCCTGAGGTGCTTTAACTGCTCAGGATTCCACCATACAGCTAAAAACTGTGTTTGCAGAGAGTGTTTGCATAAAAAAAATTAACAGTACTCAGAACATCTCAGTACTCTTCAACACAGAAAACGTAACTGACTCGGCTGCTATTAGTCTACTAATAAACGCAATATGCTCTCTAAACATAGAGCTCACATATAATAAACAGGAATAGACAGGTCTTAACATTATATATGTGCGTCATCGCATAAACGCCGAGAAATGCAGCAATATGAGATGTTACGTATTGTAATTCATAAAAGTAGATGTTACCGAATATCTATGGTGATAGAAAAAATCTGTTTTTAGATTTGATTTAAAGGTCACAAAATACATGGAGATACACCCAAAAATTGACATGTCACAAATTCTGTGTTTATCAGTGTAATTCAATAACGGCAACGCTGCCGGGTTAGGTATCGGGGAAAGGCGATGTTACCGGATGAACTACCGGTAGGAGAGGGAAAGATTTCTGACTAATTGTATGGACCTGTTTATCCAACATTATCCATTTAACTTATCTGTTATACACGTAACTAACATCTTTCTCAGTTTGTCTAACTTGTGCAGAACATCCTTTATGACGGCGTTCCATGGGAAGTGTAGAGCCAACCTACTTGACGCCGTTTTTTTTTTAGGTTGACTAGAGCATCACAGACATATTCATTTCCCATTCATTTGTGTGAGGAAGTGATGCCAGCACCGGTGTTCTATGCTACTATAGTGCCTTTAGTACTGTACATTGTCGTCAAAAAAGGATTTGTGGAACCTTTCATCAAAGAGGAGAAATCCAAAAAATTAGAAAAACAAAAACAGGATAACTTTAACAAGCTATTGGAGAAACGAAGGGAGGCAATGGCAGCCCAGGAATTAATGCAGGCAACATATAATAGAATCAGGGATGAGGAGAGTAACAAGAAAGGATTGGTTATTATCAACGCCATATATGGAAAAATTATAAAAGGTACTTCACAAATGACAGGCTAGTACTAATTCCGGATCAGCTCAAGTATATATTTTTTTGAATTCAATATAAAACATAAACAACTTGTTACATTACAAAATATTTAAATCTTAACACATTCTCATTTCTAGATGCTAGTCAGCAAGGTGACATGGAGATCTCGAATGATGTAGTGGATGTTACCATTCCAGTGCAGTGTCTTGTAAAAGACAGCAAACTTGTTATACATGAGAGAACAAAGGTAAAATGTTTTTGTAGCCTCATTTATCTTCCACGAGTCATGTTGATCGACTTTTCAGAGTGAACTACCTGGATTTTTTGATCCAGCTTTAGGAGAAGAGAAAATGTTACATATTATTTACACATACCATGATGAACCTCATGAAGTGACAGTAGCTGACCATGAGCCTGTAAGGTTACCAAAAACATGTAAGTGTTTCAGGCTTCCTACCTTCATGCTATTAAATTTTGCATTTATTATCATAAGGAGTGGTACTGGCAACACTGCTGCTCGCTCTTTCACATAGGGGGACATTGTTGCCACTATGAGAATGGTGGCAATGTAATACAGGGTGCGGCAACTTAGCTTTTTTTTCAAGACTTAATAAAACCCATTTTACTTTGTTTTTTTATAATGTATGCGCATGCTTAAATTCTTGTTTTACATAGCTTTGAAGATCAAAATCAGATAGGTGATATCCCCTATTCTCCATACACTGAGTAAACTAGTTTGTCATGACTCTTGCCAGCATAGCAGGTATTATGTTGTCAATTTCTTCCTGGATGTTGGTCTTCAGATCTTGGGTCTTTGGACGGTTCACATAAACACGAGATTTCAGGGAAAAAACATAGAAAAAAATCACAAGGAGAAAAATCGGGAGACCTAGCCGGACACTCCAAATCGCCTTATTGAAATGAGTCGCGCTAGGAAGTGTTACCTCAAAACAACCATCGATACTCTCATTTCACCATCTTCTTGGAACCAAATGTCCTCTACCTGCAACTCATCTAGCCCTGGAAAAAATTCTGTAACATTAACCAGTCCGAATTCACTGTCTCTGAAACTTCATGTTCCTCGAAGAACCAGGGATCAATAATTCTAGCTGAAGAAATTGCACATCTCACTGTAACTTTAGGTGCATGCAAAAACCTTTGGTGCAATTTTCGAGAATTAGTGTCAGCTCAATAACACACGTTTTGTTCGTCAACGAATCCAAACAAATGAAAATGGGCTTCATCGCTAAAAAAAAAACAATACCGTTAAGAACGAGTTCGATAAGACGCTCAGACGCGTTCTCCGAGACTTTGTCACGTTCGGGAAGTTCCTGCAAAATTTCCATCTTGTAAATATCTAAATGATCATCATCAAGAGTTCTCCTCACAGAACGATCGCAAAATCCAACGGCAGACGCATATTTGCGCGCCGAACGGCGTGGTGATCGCAACATTGAAGCTCTCACTGCCTCAATGTTTTTAGGTTCTCTAATGGCCAAGAAACTCCAGTTCACATAACAATTTATTTCTGGTCCGGGACAGGGGTCAACGGGTCTGAATTAAAGCGATTCCGAAAGGCCCGCTGCGTTGCGTTCACAGAACATCCCCTCGAAAAGTAGGCATCAACGGCAAAAGTATGCTCCTCACTGTTCCAACGCATGAAGACGACTGAACTCTCTCAGGACAAGTATTTATAACCCACCGTTGCCAACCCCATCCGAGAGAAAAACTGTATATGAGCTTGAAAAAAACTAGAATATTATTTAAACAACTGTACATCTGCAGTCTTCCATTTACAGTATTTTTTTCGGTTATTTATCGTGGACCAAGGTCAAAAAGTGACAGTTTTGCATTGCTAAAACAAATTCTTTTTGAGCGGTTGTGGTCTGGTTGGCCTTGAGCGACATAATGACAGAATTTCCATTCAATTTTCTCCAAATTCACTCTAGGCCAACCAGAACCGCTCATAAAGAATTTGCTTTTTGCATGCGTGATCAGTTCTTATTTTTTGACATTGTTCCGCGATAGATACTCGTGATTGCTTGCGAATAGCACACTTTTGACTTAACTTGCATCAAGTTCTTTTCGCAGCTGTTCTGATTCTGGTTGACCTCGACATAAAAATGAGATGAATTGAATTCTGTCATTTTCACTCACATAAGGGCAACCAGAATCAGAACCGCAGCAAAAAGAATTTGATTCAAAGTAGATTTTACGTATAATTCGATCTGGCAAGTGGGAGATTTTACCAAGACCGAGTTATTGTATGGACGTCTTCGTAGTAAAAAAATAGATAGCGCGAGCATTTTAAACGAAAAACTGAAAACTTGGAAGATTTTTGAAAAACTGCAAATGTACATCTATTTGAAATTGTTTCAAAACTATGTTAGTTTTACTCTTGTGCATCTGTACTTATTTTGCTTATTGTATATTGACAAAATTTTCTCTTTCCAGCTCATAGGACAAATATTACCTAGTATCAAATTAAAATGAGGAAAAGGAAAAAGGAGTCATAGTGAAAAATTAGATATATGAAATTAAAATTGGCATGGTATTGGTGAAATTTGATTATGTATCAAATATGCCCATGTGTTCAAATTGTTTTATTTGAAGCCTTGTTATAAAAATGTATCTTTTTTGTAAAACAATAAACTTGTTATTCAGCTAAAAATTATTTACACTTTGCATTATTTTAACTAATATCCATGCTCATGATAGCTTTCATTCTTGGATTGGTCATAACTTCTTTAAGGAAATTTACACCCTCAAATCTAGATTCTATAGCCTCTGCAGGTGTCCAACTGTAGTCTGCCTCTAATCTGTAACTACCTAAGTAATTATGAGGACAATTTGTCCATTCCTGGAAAAATAAATAGAAGATATACATACAATCCTGGAGAAAATATTCTCTAAATTTGATGAAATTCATTATTCATGACTTGTACTCATATTTATGTATTTTTACCTCTGGAGATAGCATCCCAAAATATTTTTGCCCTGATGGTCTTTGATAAAGATGATAAACATGCCCAGGTTTCTTCACAAAATTACAGGCTGCATTATTGAGTTCACTATTCAGTTTAGTTTCATTTAAAACATCATTCATCAATTCTTGTAAATTCTTCATCTAAAAATATTACAATGAATATTGCTTCTATATTAGAGCTACTTGTTACTTACTTGTCTCCCTATAACTTCTAGTTTATTTTTTGCATTGGCTCTAGCAAATGTATCTGCCTGAAATTATTGAATATACAGTGTAATTTAAGAAAGCAATGACCTAGTGCAAAGTATGTCAAACAGAAACTTAAAAAGTGAAATGCAAAGGCTTTTGCAGCCATCATTTGGTTGGTTTTTGTAAAAATATTTTTACTTGACATTTCACCAACACAAGTGGTTGGCACTTCAGAAGATCTAAAGTTTTTTGCAGTATTTTTACTAGCATAAATTCTTGTGGCTCTATAGAAATAAAACATATTTTCTATCCCATTGGTTTTTCAGACATCAATTGCATTTAAACAGCTTTCAAATTTTACATAAACTCCTTTCTTGAGAAGTTCCTTCAGATCATTCTTAGTCATATTCATGAGCGTCCCTAGGATTTTTTCTCAAGCACCAATCAATAACAATAAACAAATTGTTGTGAAAATGTACCTGCCTCCAGAACTTTTTGAAGAGTAGAAGTAGCAAATTTGATTAGAGGGGGATCAAACCATGGAAACCCGAACATTATACTCAAAGTCATGCTATATATGCAAATTTTTTGTCTGTCCCTGTAATGAGTTTTATCAGCAGCAAAGAAATATCCAATATCCCAATCTTGGTAAAATGGGGCTTTTTATGACCTCTTGATGATATTTTTGGATATATTTTCTCCTTTAGAAATAAAAGTATTATTTGTTCAGTCACTCTGTATTCTTGATATTGAAAAAAAATGTTCGGATCAAAATACCTGTGCAGTCCTTCATCTAATTCCATGACTTCTGTGTAGCCTTTCTTTGACACACGCATTGGATTACTAATTTACACCGCTAGGCTCAGGATTTCTTTCCACCAAAGCAACTAAAAATTGTAAGTTTTTAATTTTTCTGGCGGCTAGCAAAAAATTCTTAGGTACATTTTTGTGGTGTTCAGAAGAGTCCGGTGAAGGATCCAACGTACTACGCTTCATATTCAACGTTAATAAGAAAATATACTAGAAATTAAAAAGTACAAAGAACAAAAACTAGGCCGATATACGTATTTTCCGATTTTTTAGAAATATTTTTGTTTTTCAAATATAGGTTAACTTTTTTCACTTTGACATTTATGAGAGTTGACTTGGACGAGTCACTTGGAAATAAGGCGTGGTCATTAAGGAAACGGGGGTGGGGCACACCTGGATGTAGGGCGCGGCTAGTCAACAAGGAAATGGGGTGTGGTTTCATCTTTACGTAGGACATACTCTGGGAGAGATAATCGAATGATCCAATTTCCGCTTTTAAGTACAGATAGCACTACAATAGTTTTACATTTTTGGCCCAGAAATTTTCGAATCAAAATTATCACTCCAAATTTGTTGAATATATAATACGAGGAAGAATAAAGCAATGTAATATTAATATATGAATAGTCTTTTAGCAAAGGAGGAAAGTAATTGCTGTTTCATAATAGAAGGTGAATAGAAGCGTGGCAGGTAAGAGCTGTCAAATGTTGTTTTTGTTTGTTGTTAGAGGTGTTTGACTTTTGCCTTTTATCACATTTGCCGAGGCTATTAAAGACATATAGACGCGACAGGTCTATAAATTGATATCACGCGACGCGTACTTGACGAACGCGTATAGTTTTAAAATCGATAAACAAAAACCAGTTCCAGTCGGCTTTCCGACGAACAAATTTCAATGCCCTACATTCTGGTGCGTGGAAACTTGGCTGCATATGGTCAAAGATACCCGTGGAGAGTCCTAGTGTCGGGCCTGAAGCCGCAGACATCGAACAATTGAATAGATTCGCATCCGGAGGCTACTGCGACGATTGCACCATTGTTTACATGCAACACCCTTGCGTGATCCTGACAGCGCTGGAAGTATTGGGCTACAAAGTGGTTGCTTCATCAATCTACGAGCGTCAAACAAGACTAACAACGAATATATGTGGACGATGCGAAAAGAATTCTCCGAGCCTGAACCTACAGTAACAGTGTCTCCTACCACAGAAACCTTAGCAAAGAAACCTGCATCTCCAAATTCGAAGTAGTGTAAGTATGGAGCCCGTCAAGACGTACCAGAGTGTCTACCTGTGAATTTCACTTATGTAGCTGTGAAAGCATCACTGTATGCCTCTGATAGTTCTGTGTTTGGGTTGGATGAAGCCGAGACTAAAGCGTTGGTGAAGAAGTTCTCCAATTACCAAAAACCTGTGATAAATGGGATCCTGTTGAAAGCTGCTCCCATGGAAGTAGTGAATGCATTGAGTCAGTTGGGGTACAGGGTAGTTGCCACGACTGGAGAAGCAGAGATTGTGTGGACCATGCAAAGAGAAATATTGTAAATTGTATTTCTCATAGAAATTAGTGGTCCATTTAAAAATTTTGTATTCAATGAATATAGCCTTCTGTTTTTTTTTGTGAATGTAGCAGGAAATTTATCAGTGGATGATGCTCTAGATCTTACATTGTTTTTCACATAAAGCAGCTTTTTAAATGGGCCTCTAGCTTTATCTAACATTCTGATTTTCTTTATCTCTTTGTCTAATACATGCATAAATGTCTTCTAAACACCCAATGAACTAAAAAATGTTGGACAAATAATGAAAAAAAGCAATTCAGTTTCTCTTCTACCATGAAATCATATTTTTTGGATTTACTTACAGAGCTGAAAACATTCATAACTCGTAAGGAAGGAATTTATATGTTTTGTAAGAACATTATCTTTTCAGAAATCTTATAATAATTCTTTATTAATTTAACTGTTTCAAAATGTTGATCTCCTTCATGTAAACACTCCAGGTGCCAATCTTACATGAGTCCATATAATCACCATACAAAGAGAACATTATTGGTAAGCTGACAATTATATAGGAACTATTGGTAAATTGTCAGCAAAATCACATTGACTATTTTGTTGTATCAGTATAACAAATCTGTGTACTATTGATTTTTATTTGTAATGAAATAGTTCTGTATTGTCATGACCAGATAAAATGAAAATGTTATTTCATAATCATAATTGTTATGATAAAGTATGTCACATCATTCACTATTATAGTCAATAGTAGTAAAGCAATAATCAGCCATTTTTCATCTATTCTTTTATGCACTGTAGTTTCATATTTTTCTGATGAACAC